TATTGTTGAATTTTTAAATGTTTTGAGACAGGGCCTTGCTACATTGCTAAGGATGGCTTTGAACTTCTGATCCTCCTGCCTCAGCTTCCTGAGCTGCTGGGATCATAGGTATGCATCACTGTACCTGGCCAAAGTTTTAGTTTTGCAATATGAAAATAGTTCTGGAGATAGATGGTGGTGATAGTTGCGTGACAATCTGAGGGTATTTATTGCTATTGAACTATCACTGGTCATGATGGTAAGTTTTGTATTATATGTATTTTGCCACATTTTTTAAAAAAATCAACACCAGGAAGAGAAGGAAGGGGTAAAGAAAAAGGAATATCTCAAATTAATGATCTCAGTTTGCTCGAGGCAGTTTCTATTCTTTGCAGTTTCTATTCACTGTGGTTTGGCACAGTGGTGAAAATGAATAGAGATGGAGGTCAACAGTGGTGAGCAAGTCAAGGAACTGAGAGGCCAGGATATTGTCTTGGTCTTCCATCAAAATATGGAGGCCATTTAGGATAAAAGAAGTGTGTAGGAGTGGTGATCATATGGGGTAATAAGAGGACTGAAGTCTAGTGCCAACACCTTCACTGAACGAAGGTGACAGCAGTCAGCACAAACATTTGCATTCCAAATGACACAAGCTTCCATGCAGCAGTTCATTTGTGAATGAGGGCAGGTTTGCTAGTTGCCCCCTTTAAGACCCAGAATTTCTAAGCTTAGGGTGCATGTAGCACTACCTGGGCTGCAGTGAGTCTGGAGGAGTAAGAGGAACCAATGCAAATGTGAAGCTCCATCTGCTGCTCTATCTCTGACCTAGGAGTCCTGTGTCTTCTGCCAGTGTCTGAGAAGCAGACTAATGTGCTAGCTTGCAAGCTGAGTAAAACCCCTTGACAGTTCAAAAGTCATTCTGATCTCAAGTGTTGGAGATTAAGCAGACTTTCTCTTGGGTGGCAGGGGAAGATCATTGCAGGCAGAGGGAGCAGGTCCTATAGGGGTAGAGGCAGACTGAGCAGGGCTTAGTTGAGGATTGTATTCTGCTTGTGTTCAGACACATTAAGCTGACTACAATTAGGAAAAGAGAGGTGGACAGGACAGGGAGTGGGGAAGATAGCGATCAGACAGCCAGTTAGGAAGGTGTCATAGTCCAAGAAAAAGACTGTACCCCAGAGGCTGGGGTGGCGGTAGTTCAGGAGTGGAGCATGTGTTGAGCATGCACAAAACAAAATTCTGGGTTCAGTTCCCTGCACCAACAGAACAAAACAACTCCAAAAGTGCATACTAGAGAAGGAGCCTCTGAGGAATGTCCAAGGGCAGGGGAAATGATAGCTTTGGACAACTCAGGCAGAGATGACCTGGAGAAAAATTTGTCCTGGCACCTGAGAAAGGAGTCTGAGCTAGAGATGATGGTTTAGGAAACAGAATAGAAACCACAGTTTAAACCTTCAGTGAGTTCATTAACAGTAAAGGAGAATGGAGGAGTGAATATTCAGTTTCCATGAAGTCTGCCCAGAGGCTTAAGGAGGCCAAGGAGATAGGATTAACTAGTGAGGCGGCCCAGGTGTAAAGCAATATGTTCTGCACACTTTCTAACATGCATGTATTTTACCTTAAGAGGAGAGCCTTTGCTTTCTAGCTAAAGCATCTGTGTTCAGTGCCCTGTGGTTACTTGAAGTCCACTAACCATGTCCATTCATCAGTAAGGGAGAAGAACCAAAGAAGTGTCTCCCCCAAAGGTCAAGGTCAGTCGCTACCTGTTATGGTGACTTTCACCTCTGGATGCCCTCCTTTGATCTCACAGGGGTGTCTCACTGCAAGCCAGGTTCAAATAGGTCAGATCTTCTTATTTTTCTTCTTTCTTTTAAAAGCTAGGAATTTGTATTTTTATATTTAAACCCTTTAAAAATTGTATCAGGGGGCTGGGATTATGGCCCAGCGGTAGAGCGCTCATTTAGCACATGTGTGGCCCTGGGTTTGATCCTCAGCACCACATATAAATAAAATAAAGGTATTGTGTCCAACTACAACTAAAAAAATAAATATTAAAAAAGTTGCACCAGCCAGATTCACCCCCTGGGCCAACATTTTACAGGGTCTGATTTAACTGGTCTATAGGAATCTGCTTATGCCATGGTTTTGTTGGATGGCTCCCTGGGAACTGTGTGGATAGCCATACATTGCTACACAAACAGTAGGGTATTTGGGGGCTTGTGTCTGCCCCATCAAGCAGAAGTTCTGATCACTGTCCAAGCCCTGTTCTTTTATGCTGAGCTAAATAAACAGTTTTAGACTAAAGAGCCGGAGCTGTCTGCTTCTCTTCCTTTCCTATTGTATGATGCTTCTGAATAAGCCATGGTCAGGAGAGGAGAGTTTTGGCATTTTTTGTAGATACATAACATGGATTTTGTGCATGGGCATGCACCATGATTATGAAGTAGTCAAGTTGGTCTTTTGGCCCTGAGAATGTCAAAGTTCTGTGTGCCCTTACCCTCCCCCTTGCATGCAGGGTGCCACCTCTGTTCTCTGCTCTCCTCACCTCTCAGAAGCAGTCATCAGGAAAGGCATTTGGGTCTAAATGGAATTCCAAGGAAAGTAAGATAACCCTCCCCTTCCGTGCTCAAGTGAATGCTCAGATTTACAGTTGCTTGAAAATCCAGAGAAAATGTTCTAGAATTCTACCAGCCAAGAGATGAAAAAGGTTCAGACCTTCTAAAATGCTACCTTCCCTTGATTTACACTACAGGGACACTAAAAGAAGTTGGATGATATCAAGTTGAGGGTACTGTGAATTTTAAAAGGAAACTTAGTTGCCTGTTCTTACTGATCTGAAAGTGTTTTTCTTATGCTTTGGGCTCAAACAAGTTTTTAAGCTCTGTTTATTCAATCATTAAAAGTGTATTGAACATCTGAAAATTTCCCAGCACTCTATAGAGCTGACAATTTATACCTCAAGGGCTCAAATAGACAATGGTTTTACATACTAAATTTTAGAATAATCTTCCAAAAAAGGAACTTATCTCCTGCAAAAGAGCTTTCCAATATGCTATAAACCAAACATCCCAAATTTTAATTTACACCTTCATAGACTGAAGGAATTAAAAATATGCCATCTCAGTATGCTGAACTAGTATATTGATTACTTTAAGCTGAAATTACTCGAGGAATTGTAACTTCAGAGGCCTGTACTTTCCTACATGCAACAAGTCATAAAGATTCATTGGGGAGGGTTGTCCTTCACATACCAAAGCTGAAAATAAATTTGATTACCAGAGACTGATAATTCTGGCTGCACTGAACTCAAACAAATTCTGAAGTAACCCTTATCTTCCCCTCACTTCTGTCTCTCTCCCCCATATCACTTAGTAACATCCCTAGAATTTCCTACCCTAGTCCAGATATCCATTTATCTTGAAATGACTTCACAAATATTTTTGTTCTTTTGTCTAAAACATATAAAAGATTAATGTTTTGGCTATTTCTTCATACTTCACTCTCTTGTGAAGATACCCATGTGCATGTAAAATTAATGCAACTTTATGCTTTTTTCTTGTTTATCAGTTCATCTATTAATTGTGCTCCTAAATCTAGCCAAAGAGCCCACATAAGCACTAAGGAGGAAATAGAAGAAATCTCTCTCTCCTGTATTGTGCAGTCATATTTGTCAGTACTAGAGATTGCTAGGCAATCCATGCTAGGCAAGTCCACTACCACTGAGCTATACTTCCAGTCTCTCCTTTTTGTAAAAAATTGAGACACAATCTTGGTAAGTTGTCCAATGAGGCCTAGAACTTGTGATCCTCCTACCTCAGTTTCCTGGGTATGCTGGTATTACTAGTGTGTGCCACCACACCTATCAGTTTTTTTAATGTAGCCTAATTTCATGATATTTTTGGAGTCCCATGCTGTAAATTATTTGTAAGGAAACAAAACAAATACACAACAAACAAAAGATGGTAATAAGATAAAGGTGAGGGTGTGCTTATGTCTTCATACCTTTTAAAAAAAGTATTGGAATGCATAGAATAGCTCTAGAACTTATCCTCAGGACAAAGTGTAAGTTAAAATAAATTCATATTGATATATGTAAATTAGCACAAAAATGGTTAAGCAATTCCTTTTACTGTAACCTCTTTCTGGATGAAAGAATTAAGTGTGGTTACCGTTGTCCAGTTAGAGGAAGTGGTATGGTATGGAGGACGTCAGAGTTCTTGCAATATTGAAGTACTGTCAGCATTTGCTCTTCACAATAGAGGTTTGTAAACTTTTTTTTTTAATAGAAAAGACAATTTAGTAGACATTTTAAGATGTTCCTCTTTCTCCCATGGTTTTATGTATGTATAGAATTTATGCAGGCATCATTTTTGTAACGCCATTGAATTCATGAGAGAGAAAACCATCAAGATAAGAAAGGTTTGAGGTCTCCTCGATGTGAAGTTTAGAGACTCTTCACTCCAAAACACTCTAAAGAACATTTTAAAGCTATTTTTCTCTTGTGTGAGGGAAGCTAGGCAACCTATATTGTCATTGAAATAGAACAGGGTTTTATGTTTGTGTATGAAAATGGAATTGCTTTAGAATATCCATAATTAGCAATTTCTATTAGCATGCTTTCTTCCCTATAAAAATGTTGTATATCGAAGAATATTCAGAATGTGAAGTTATATGGAATAAACTCTAATTTGTGCTATAACCCTTTTATATTGCTTTTCCAATTCAATTATGAAAAAGGTAAAAGGATATCTTTTTACTACACTTTTTTGTAAGGCAGTTTAGTGATTGACCTAATTTAGTCTCCTATAAAGAAAACAAAAACCATACAGACATTAAGTTCAGTATTTCAAAAGTAATCCCAAAATATTGAAAAATGGCTTGCCATGGGCTACTGAAATACAGCATATCATGGCTATCCTGAATCGTTTTCTTCCTGGTTCATAGGTCATGACAAAGTAACAGCTAAACACAGTTGAGGAAATCTTGATGTTCCAGAATAAACACAGTAATTCACACCATAATTTACTTTACACTTGACAAACTTTATTAAATAGTGGGCATTACTAACTTTCATTATCTTATATACAGTATTTAACTGTTTTCCTAGATGCATCCCCCCCCCCCAAAAAAAAAAAAAAGAATAAAGTCGGTGAAAAGTAAACTTATAAAAAAAATTGACCCTTCCATACAGGAACCTAATAAGAACCTTTAAGTACAGATAACTTTTTCCTCCCAGTTATATACATCCCCACCCACCTCCAAAACAAACTACAAAAGCACTTAATTGATAATTTTGGGGAAACAGACCAATATGACTATGTATTTACATACAGCTGACAAAATCGTCATTCTGGCCCACGGGAGTGATCTATAAAACTACAGATTTGTCTTAGAATCCAAAGGACCACATAGACACGTCGTACAGTGAAACATCCACTTTCATGCAGTAGAGTGTGTTCGTATAGGTGACATCAAAGCTGTGTAACGAGACACTGGTGTGAACAATGAATGATTCTGAGACTTAGGCACAATAGTACTGTGGACCTTGGAGAATTTGGTTCAGAGAGACAAAAACACAAAAATGGAAGGCTGCATTCCTGGATAAGAGTCAGGTAACTTTGTGTTTTGCTTTTTTAAAAAATAGGTGATATAAATGCACTACACCTCTAGGAAGTCTAAGAAAGAACTTTCTTCAGTGCTTGTCTTTTGGATGCTGCTTAATCTTGAAAACTCACATCAGGTTTAAATAAAATCAATCAAAGAAGGAATGTTTCCAGAATCATGCTGTTTAATATGGACTTTCCCTCCACCTTTGGCAGGGCTGGGGATCAATCGCAGAGCCTCATGCGCGCTGGAAGCCTGCCACAGAGCCACACCCCACCCCTGGACTTCACTTTATGAGCTACAAGAAGACAGAAATGCTTGAAGAACAAGAGACCTGGTGTTTTGTTGTTGTTTAAAGTGGAAAAAATGCTCTAGGTACCTATTTATAAAATGAGGATGTTTACATTTTATGTTTTAAGTTAACAGAGACAGGACTTAAAAAGAGGAAAAGAGTTATGGGAAGATGTCACTGATTTAATTAGTGCTTTCCTTCAAGTGAAAAGGCCACACACACACATATCAGTGTATCTTTTAAAATGGAAATGACTGGCTTTTAATTAGAATAATGAGAAAATAAAATTATAAAGGAAACAGAGGGTGAAGAAAGGCCACAGAATGTATAAATGCTGAAATTGAGAATATAAAGGGCATTGCAAGGAAATATCCTCATTGCATTCATGCAATCAAGAAAATAGAATATTTTTATAAAGTACCAATAAATCGGCCTTCTTTGATTTTTGCTTTTTATTTACAATGTGATGCTTTTGGTGTTTTGTTTCTTCCAAAAGGAGTTAAATTTGTATTTAATATCATAATGAAATGCTTCATAAAGCACAATTATAGCATAAAAGATGTTATTATCCAGAACCCAGTAACCAAAGACTGTTCTTTCATATGCCTTGAAATAATGAAAACATGTTATGTACTGTTTAGAAAATAAGTTCTTGCCCTTTCTTTTTAGCAATGACTCCTTGGGGTAGGATCTAGCAGGTCACTGGCAGAGTAAAAACTCAAGAAGTTGCCTATGGAACAATGCTCTGGAAGGGTGATTTTAATGTGCTTTGTCTGATTTTTAGCTTATGGTTTATTTCTCCCTAATTAGAGTTAGGCACACACAATGACATCATAGGTTTTTTTTGGTCAAACTGTCCCTATTTCAACTATAATATGAATGGATAACCAAGTTGTTCCCCCTGAGTCTTTCCATCTTTCTAATAGTAAGTTAGTTTACGATTTAGTGAATTCGTTTTCTTTAAGCCATGAAGGAAATCATTCATTTCATCCCAGAAATCGTATCATTAACATGATCAGTAGCACATTCATCAGGACTTGTCCAGAAATACAGGTAAAGGCTTTTACTTACAGTGAATTGGTCCTTCTACATTTTAGTTTTCAATGGTCACACAATTTCTGAGTTGAAATGAAATGACACAGGAATGCCAGCATGGAAATCCTAAAATAGGCATCACGACTATGTTCTAACTAGAGATCTCTGGCGTAAGTTATTCCAGGGTCTTGTCACAACTGTAACAAAATGTCAGCTACAAGCATAATTCTTTAAACAGTGCTATAGTTCCTTTCTTTCAAAATATGAAAAAGTCTCCTTGCTGCCTTTGTGTTGTAGGTTTTGAGAGGGTTACTGCATTTCTTCAAGTGTGGGCACTATTGTCAGGATATGGAAAAAATACGTTACCCAAAAAGCCTAAAAAATTTCAAGTAAGATTGACTTACATGAAAGTGAAGACAATCAGCATCTGAGAAGAAGATATTATTCAATGCTGACACTTACTAAAGTATAATCCTGGCTGTAGGGTCAGCCGGCTCAAAAAGTTGTGCTGTAAAAGAAAGTATATTTTACACCTCTGGTTATTACAAAATTGTTTTAATCTGATACATACAAAACCTATCAGTATCTGTGATTTATGAGTGTAAGAGGAAGTTAATTCAGGCAGCTATTACTGAGAAGCCTTAGGCAAAGCTACTTGAACTAAGACACTGAAATTTTTCCCTTAGAGACTGGACAATGTTTTGTTGATTGGGAGACGGCCCCCTCCAAAGGTAGTCATTCAGTTTGTCAGAATCACTGTATGCTGTCAGATACGGTGAAAGCCCAAGTTTGCTGTTTATGGGCTCTTTTGGAGTGCATGGACTATTCAAGGAGTAAGGTGGGTTGTTGCTGCAGACATTATCAGAGAAGTCGGCATCCGCGATCTTGGAGTCAGATTTCCTTCTGCGACTCTGCAATAGCTCCAACTCCACCTCGTCTTCTTCAGACTTTATTTCCACATAGTCATCTTCATCTTCAGTCTCTTTGAAATTGGAAAAATAGTTCTGTGTGGCTAGGTGGGCGTTTAAAGGTAAATTTCTATTTACTACCAGAACTTTCTGTGAGTCTTGGAGTGTGAGGTCAGAGCATTTTTCAGCACCCTGCTGACAAGAATCAGCTGTACCTGGCAGCAAATCCTGGTGGCTCTCACACCGTGCATTTTGGTGTAAGGACAGCAGCTGTTTCTTTCCCATCTCGCTGGGGTAATTGATGGAGTCCATTGATTTGTTTATCAAGATGGAGGAAGAAGACTGGGACCTGTTGTAAGGCTGGGATTTAGCACTGATTCCTTTCCGACCCAGCGAGTTGTAAAGATGGCCCTGACATGAGTTCTCTTTGTGGGGCTGACTTACTACCACACTGCATCTCTGCATGGAGCCCAGGAGAGGGTCAGAGATTTGAAGAGAAGGCACAGAGCAAGCTGCAGACAACTGTCTTGGGGTACTTTTGGTACCAATATCTAAAGTGGGATACTTTGACCTCAAGTCTTGCTCTGGCCGGGGACAGAAATCTGCTAACTCTCCATTACTATAAGTTGAATGCAAGAGCCAATCCTCGCCACCATGTTGGCCCTGGGAAGGTGAGGCAGCCCTGAGGAGGGACGGTTCCTGTGTGCTGGCCCAGCCATCCTTCTGAATTTTAAGGGGCGTCTCCCTGAAGACAATCTGGTCATACAGTTGGGAATACTCAGCAATCCTGGCACCTGGAAGGCAAATATGGAAACAATAAGTATACCTGGGATTGTTCCTACATAGAAAGATTAAGTATAAAAACATAATGTTCTAACCAACATATTAAAACAAAACTTAAATAGTAAGTAGGACTTCGAAGTTTGAGGATCAGTGATCACTGAACACAAAGCAACACAAACTAAAACTCAGTTTAAGAAAACTAGAAATGCCACCACAAAGTTCATTTAATTTGACCTCCTTTTGTATTTTTTTATTTTAACAGCAGGTCTGCAAGTGTCCACTCTATGTAATGAAAATACCTAATGTTCCTTTTAAGCTGGAAACGGTGTCAGTGTTGAAAACAGGCATTGTAAAAACAAGAATGCCAGCACTTAAGCGCTGGTTAATAAAAAATAAGCAGCCACTCAAAGAAGTATGACCACAATGCCCAGTGCAGTGGTCACCCCTGGCTTCTCCCTACCGTGCCCCTAAAGGAGTCTGCTCCTGCGGCGGTTCCTGCACTTCTAGTTTCCAGACAGTCCTTCACGGCCACTGTCTGGGGAGCTGATGTCTAGGGGAGGCCTTCCCCTCTGTATTTCCAAAACATGAGAACTGACTCCCATCTCCTTTCCCAACCCAAGAAGCCAGGCAGTGAAGCCATGAAGAATGAGCCACCTGCTGGGGCTGCAGCTCAGTGGCAGAGCCCTTGCCTAGCACATGTGAGGCACTGCATTCGATCCCCAGCATCACATAAAAATAAACAAATAAAGGCATTCTGTCCATCTACAACTACAAAAAAATAAAAGAATGAACCAAATGTGCATGTACATATGCAATACTCTAATGCTTTCTAGTGCTGGCTCAAGGATAGGACTAGATAGTTACTCCACAAAAAATATAAGCTGTGAGGATGGCAGCTCCTTTTCCCCACTTCGGAGACAGACATTTATAAAGATACCAGCTGAACTACGATACAGAGAGCATTCTCTTGGGCCAGCAATGACTGAAGATGGGGAGCCCAGAGATGTCTATTTCAAGAGTTGTTCTTCTCTCCAATCCAAGCACCCTAGAACCGAAGAACTCCATGCATCCTGTAAGTTTCTCAGACCACATAAACACAATCTTTAAGAGGACATTTACCCTGTCCACAACAACAGGCAAATGACATTATGTTTTCTTCTTCTCCTTTAAACTATATTTTTAATAAACTGTTATTTGTATATTATCTTTTGAATTTAAGCTAAATAACTCATTCAGTTTAATTTCTGCCTTTTTTTTTTTTTATTCTGCAGTGCTGGGGACTAGACCCTGGGCTGCATGCATGCTCTACCACAAGCCACATCCCTAGCACTGCCACCTCCTTTGAATCCATCTTCTTTGAAGACAGACACAATCAGCTGTTATGGTGTGTCCCCAATTCCCTCACCCCCTGCTCCTGCAATCAAGGGAAATGGTCTAACTTCTCATCTCTGAGCCCATCTTCAGATTCTTTGGGTTTTTAATTCCAAATTCCTTAGAAAGACAGAGAATATTAGTCTAGAAATTTCTAGTAATAAACCATGGGGAATTCCTCCTGAAATAGCATAGTAAAAATTCTTAATAACCAATTAATATTTAGCAACACCTTAAGAGAAAGCATGTGGAAAGTCTACTTGGTCAGCGATATACTTTATGTCAGCCATCCTGAGACCTGTGATGTTTCATTAACTATGACACCCGCTCAGAGGCATCCAGAAGCCTCAGAAATTAAACTGAATGAGTTATTTAGCTTAAATTGGGCAGTCAGATGGTGCTGCCCAAGACTTTCTCCTGCACGCTACAGCCTGAACTTGATCCTGCTGAGTCAGGAAGCCTTTACAAGTTTCATGAAGATGACAATTTGAGGAGAAAATAGAACTCATTAAGGATTCAAATTATTTCAGTATTAGAATTTAAACACAAAGTCTTGTAAGAACAATCAGCTTGTGCCTTTTGCCTAGCTATTTGAAAATATATATTGTCCGGAATGTTTCTCATCATCCACAGTATTTCTCAGGTCTGCCTCTCATATTCTCCTTTTTCTCTGCTTAACAAATTCTACCTATGGCTCAAGATCTTCCCTAAGCCCTATTCTTCCATGAATCCTTATCCAATGATTTCTCCTCTTTGAAGTCTTCTATGTGTACATATATACACTTGGAGACTTTCACACAGTATTGTATTGCTAATTGTTTTTATAGGTTAGTTTATTTCTCTAGATAATGTATGAGCTTTTTGATCTTGGAGGACAAGATTGTACAATGTGCTCTTCTCCCTATAGAGCACTAACAGAGACTGGTTTCAATAACAACTTCACTCCCCAGATAATATTTATACTGCCTCCTTTTATTTTAAGCAAAGGGTCAGGAATGGATGGGCTTTTCCTGAGACCATGCACTCAAGTGGAAAGACAGCCTGGAAACCAGGTCATAGCAGGAAAAGGGGAGGCAGGAAGATGGCCTTGGATTAAAATACTTCCTATACAACACTCAGAATAGGCATAGTTTATCTTTGGGTAATGAAGAGTTGACCATTTATCATTTTCAAATAAAAACACCTCAGATCTCAGATCTCACTAGTACACAATACATTGTGCTTTCTACTTTTTTTTTTAATATCAACTTGACCAACTAAGAGAGTATGTAACCTACACAAGGCGCCAGTGTGAAAGAGAGAGAGAGAGGTTTATAGAGTGTCCCTGTGCTAGAACAGACCCCGTCAGCCAGCTGCATGGGGAACAGACAGCTGAAGATGGCTTGTCCAGCCCCAAGAACTCAGCCCTTGCCAGAAAGGACCAGATTCCCCATATTCTTATTTCTGGCATTGCTTTCACAGGAGATGATCATTAACATTACACAACACTCTGAAGGCTGCCTCTGGTTTGTATCCTTTTCTGAAGGTTTGAAAGTTAGGATTCCAGATAAACATCTGAAGCAATCCCTGCCAAGGGAAATCTCAAAAAAGTGTTTCCAATGTAGGATTAAAATCCATGTTTCTGACGTTGCCTGAGATTTAAACAAAAGCATAAAATTGTGCCTTCCCTAGTTTCTACAAGGAGGAAAGTTCCTCAAGCCTGTATGGAATTTTCTATCATGTGAAATATCACCAAAAAAAAAAAGTACCCCCGAGGCCTCCTTAGTCTCAAAGACTACCAGGAGGAAGTCTGACTGAACCGAGGGCCAGCATGCTAGGACAGGCTCTAAAATGTGGGAGCGACTAGACCTGGTTGGGTGATTTATAGGCGGAAATCTGACCCCCAGGGCCTGTAGACCCTGGGCAGAGCGTTCAATAAAGATGCTGGAGAGTTTCAGCAGGTGAATAGGGCGCTCCTCCTTCCGCACAACACCGAGAGCAAGCTCCTGGCAAAGTGGCAAGGCCCACGCGCAGAAGTCTGGAGAATCGGTCCATTCGATTACGACGTCCTGTGCCCAGATAAACAAGAAAGAGAAAAGGAGTCATCATGTCAACTGATGGAACGCCTCGTGGGCACAGGAAGTGATCTCCATCACCCAGGTGGAGGAGGTGTGGATCTAATTCACCAGGTCTGAGAGATGGCAGGCCCTAGGGACGTGCACCTGCCAGACAGCAGGGGAAGACAGCATTCGTGAACGATGCCCTGGGAGAGATCTTCTCTTTGTTGGGGAGGATGTCGGTAGTAGCCTACCATGTTAAGGCAAGACCCGGATGCAAAGCTCAGGAAAGATCCTGGGGTATCCCAAGAAGACAGCAGGAAGCAAACAAACAGGAGAACAAACTAAGTGAAAAGAAGCCAAAGAAAAACCCATCTGAAATAAATTCATACTTAAAAGGTAAGTTAAAAAGAAGACATTCAAGGCAGCTGCAAGTCCTGATCATTTAGAACAGAAGGGCTTGCTTCAATGAAGATAGAGGTTTGCATTTTTGTGGATGGTACATACTCTAAGTAACCTGGCCAAGGTTATTACTACAGTTTCAGCAATAGTTCACTGGTATAATCCATTGTCACTGGGAATCTTAGCATTAAAACAGTGAGTGGCTGCAATTGCCAACACACAACTATTTCTAAGGCCATCTGAGCCTCCCCAAGAGTGTCCTTCTGCTGCTAGACCTGCTGCTTTCTTCAAGTATAACAATATACCAGCTTGGTGACACTAGCATTGGAAAAGGGACATAAATTACCATTAGCACATTATTACAAGGAGAAAAATATTTGCAATTTGATCTCTCTCCTGTTCCTACAAAAATCACTTTTCATCATTTTTATTAAAAAGAAGAAGGACTCAAAGAGTCTGTAAAATCCTTCCGCTATCAATTGCAAGCCTTCACTTCCCTATCTATGGTAGGAAATTTTACTGAAGATTAAAGCTTTGGACAATTCTTAAATACTTACGAACTTAAAAAAAAAAAATCCCTACGGATTCTCATTATGTAACTTGTGACTTCACTGAGGATTTTGATATCCCCTTTCTGCCCTCTGGTTTCCATGGCAATAGGTCAGTTCTAAAGAAGGCAGTTAGTGGCACCAACATGTCCAGTTAGTGGCCCTGTGTGCCCAAACATGCTCTGTCACCATGAAACTGGTTAGTTGAATCTGCTGAAACTAAGCCACCTGATTTCTGTCTCTAATTGGAGAAGTGATCCCACTTTTTTCATTTGGAGGTGCTCCTTTATCAGAAAATCTAAGGGCAGGATTTCTTAACACCAGATGGAAGGGCCACCCTGTTTTAAAATTCAGATTCCTAGGCCTACCCCCAGAAATCTCTGTGCATCTGGAGGTTATAGCTCCTGAGATAAGAATCACTGCCTTGGGCTCTTCCTTCAAGACAATCATGTGCTTTATTCACACCTGAGTTCTTTCTTTGAGATTAGTATTACATTCTGTCCTTCAAAGTAGTCCAGCCATGAACCTCTCATTCCTGTGCCCTCAGTCTCCCCAACACCACAAGTATGATCCTGGCTTAGTAACACCCCACAAAGCAGATCTAACTACAGAATTAAACTTCTTGCAGGCATCAATGAGAATACCAAATGAGATGGTTTAAATGCACGAGAGCAGCTATTTTCAAAAACTGAGTAGTAGCCAAAATAGGCAAAAGAACAACTAAATTATAGTGTGGACAGCTAAGAAAAGTGCAAAGAGAATTCTTTTTTGTCTTGGTTAGCCAGAGTGGGCACTTCATGTAGGGTTCCAAAGCAAAGAACAATCACATCCTATATGCATTCAAAACCTGAAAGCTTTTCCAAGCTACTCCTTCTCCTTAGATGCTACTGATAGAGGGTAAAGTTCTAGGCTCCACAAGTTAAAACTGTTCGCATGCCCACTCCCATACCTTAGGTACCCTTAGAAAAAACTTTTTTTTAAAATGGCAATCTTGTAGTGATAATGTGGCATGGACACTCAAACCCTCTGAAGCCAAATCATGCACCATCCTGTGTAACTGAGCAGAGGTGAAGTGGGAAAGGCTACAGTGTCTTTGTGGTCCATGAGGTAGGAACGCTTGAGTGACAAGTGTTTTCACAGGTGCATCTACTAAGGACCCTGAGAATTCGAAGCCTGCTCTTGCACCTACTTTCAAGAAGGAAGAAAAGTGGAGTGAACGTACCAATAGCAGGCCCACCCTGCTTCTTCTCCTCCAGGATGGCTGCCAGGTCTTTGTGGGTGGATTTATGCTGACTGGATGGCGGCTGCTCCAACTCTGGACTTCTCACTTTTAAAAGCTGATTTGCCTTCTTGATCTTCTGGCTGTACTGCCTCGCCATCATAAAGACCCTGCTTTTTGTCTTATCTGTGACATCCATCCCAGGATCAGGGGTTTCGGGGTCTGTCTGGGGCAGGCTGCTGTTGGCTGAGTCGTAGGGGCTGTCCACCGGGGGCATTTCGCTGGCCAAGGAGAGTCGGTTAAGACTCACAAAGGAGCCTTCTGTAGAAATCAGGTCTTCTTCAAGTGGGTAGTTGGCCCGGCTAGCTCTGCCGGCCCTGCTTTTCAGAGGTGTGAGGAAAGCCTGGCTCTCAGGGAGGGACAGAGTGGATGTGGAATGCCCGGGGTCTCTGTGCAGTTCTGGGGTGCTCTCTGCATGCAGCCTGTCTTGGACATCATCTTTACTTACAGGAAATGCTGCCAGGAGACGGTCTCTAGCTTTGTCTTCATTTTTCTTGATGTAATTTTCCAAGTCATTCCATATTTCATCTACCTCTTCAGACAGTTTATCAGACAGAGCCTTATCTGCTACAGACAAGTTGCAGTTGGAGGAGTTGTACAGCAAACTCAAATAGTCATTGTCGGGGGGCCCCTGGTGGTAAGGCGCATCATCCTCACTGAACTGGAGGCTATCTTGGGAAACAAATGGCCTCAGGCTGTCACAACATGCAAAGTCAGCTTCCAAACCCAAAAAGGTGCTCCTCTTGGGCCGCTTAAGGCTGTTGCTTTTGAAATCTGGAGGTGGTGGGTCTGGGAGCCCGATAGTGTCATAAATGTTTTCCTCTACCACCTGGAGCTCCTGAGTGCTTTGATGAGATGCCTCTTGACTGGTGAGCACTCCATTTCTTTTGGTGTGTAGGGAACTGGTACTATGGCCAGGTTGCCTCTTTGAGAAGGCTAACTCTGGGGTGCTCTTGGGACGAACGGAGTCCTTGGCTGATTTGGAGGGAGTGAATTCAGCTTCTTCCCGTTTAGCAACCATTAATTTCAAGTCCTCATAACTTATGTTATCATAGACATGGTCTATATCATCAATTGTCAACTCTACAGATGACCCAAAGGGAGTCATCCCTTCCTGCCCTTCTCTTTGTGGGCCGATCTGCAGTTCCCTTCGGGGACTATACTGAGAGCCACTGCTGTCCCTCCTTCTTATTTCAGTCGGGCACGTGTTGCTCTCACCGGCACTGCTGGCCCTCCGGACAATCCTGTGGCCAGAGCTGGAAACCTCTGAGAACTCCATCTGTCCCATATGCCAGCTGCAAGGGCGACTTGAAGTGCTCTCTTCACACAGTTGGGCAGAGTTCAAGTTCGAGGAAGAAAAGGATGGCACGAACATCTGGTAATCATCTTCATCATCCTCGTGCTCCTGGGGGGACCGGCGGCTGGGAAACAAGGCCTGCCGGATCTGGTGATCGGTCCAGATGTTTCTGATGGTGCCACCCCCACGAAGCACGCTGCTCACAGCAGAACTGCCTGGTTGGCTGTTCCTCTGGGCAGGAGAAGGCCCTGCAGAAGTCCGTTGGGGAGAGTCTTCCTCTCTAGACACCTGAGGAGGACAGAGACACATCAATGGGTTTCAGTGCCCCGGAGAAGACACCTAAGGAATTTCTCCTGTCCTTACATGTTGCCTCTGCTACTAGCCTGAAAGATTCAGAAAGAAAATAATGAAAATAATAATAAAGAAAATAATGGTAGGTGTTGCTGATTTTAACTGAGTTGAAAATCACTTCAGATTTTTGGAAAAGGGGCAGAATAGACAGGAGTTTTATTTATTTAGAAAGCAAGTTATGGGCAATTTGCAGACATCCTCCAAACTCAGTATTCACAATCCTTCTGTGAATTAGATATGATTATTCCAATATCAAAAGGAAATCCTAGGGTCCTAGAGATTCTGTAACTTGTTCTACTGAGTCAGTAGCAAAGGCTAGGACTCAAACCTGGTTCGACTCCAAAGCCTGCCCTAAACCAGGAGATCAGCTAACTATGGAAGACTCTTAGATACTAAATAAGTCCATTATGCACATGGCAAAAATTCACTATATAATGGATATACAGAGGTGTCAAGGGCAAGGATATCTGAGAGTTTCTCAGGAAGGCTAATTCCAGCTCTTGACTATAAGGAATTGGATCATGGTTTCTGGTATACCAGAAGCCCGTGTTGGTGACCTGATGACCCACTCCAAGGGTTTCTTGACCACCACAAACCTGACCAGTACCATCTTGGTTTATAGATTCTATGTAAAGAGAATTTGCTCTAGGAATATAATTTCATCCACTGTTAAGTTAATGATATTTTTAATTTTGTTTCAAAATATATTTATTCAAAATATATTTATTTTGAATATATTTTGTTCAAATATATTAATTAAATGTTACTCAGAAGTAAAATATGAATGACATTAATGATATCTAAGAAAAGAAAACAATGGAGTGTTCTATAACTTGGGAGCTTTCTTGATGGAGCTCAACTTGTCCCTAATTCTTGGTGTTTAGAAAACCTGTACTATGGCCAGCTAATTCTGGGATGCTCAATTCTGCAGGCAGTAGTGGATTAGCCTCTGAGGCTATCTTGCAGGTAGAAGGGTCAGTTTCAAAGAGTTGAAAGGGTTAAGACCTTTTCAGACTGATGCATACCAGGGACACACTTTCTGATGGAAGCACTACAGTAACCTAATGGAAGTTGAATTAGCAAGAGCTTTCATGACATGTCAGTCTGTCTACCAGAAAAGGAAGAGTACAGAGGACAAAAATAAAATTTCCTCCTAAATGTTTTTCTTCTAGCACAACTTCAAAACTTAAAATAGTTAATCTTTTATTTTTTTCACACATATAAACATATATAATATTTGTATGCAATAAATTTATTGTTTTTATGTATCTATTCCCCCATGTTTTAGTGTTTCTTCCTTCCCCTTAGACTGCACCTGGATAATATTTATAAAATAGAGGTACCTAGTAATTTACTTTCCATAAATTAAATGAGTTAATATTTGCTAAATTATGAGAAAACATTTTGATAGTGTAAAGAAACAATTTTGTGTTTTTTTTCTCAAAATACCAAAAGTAATCCTTCTTATGATCTTTCATCCCAGGAAACTTGCAGATGTTTTGGAAAATTAGGAAATCCAGAATATAAGTATTGGAATATATTTTTACACTAATTACCCTTGAAGGTAGCCATACTTGTAAGGTAAAAATTGACATCCAATAAATCATTAGAAGAACTGACAGAGAGCTAAACTTCGATTAGGAACTCATCAATAGGGGTTAGGGCTATGGCTCAGTGGTAGAGCACTTGCCTAGCATGTGTGAGGCCCTGGGTTCCATCCTCAGTACCACATTAAAAAATAAATAAATAAAATAAAGGTATTAAAAAAGAACTCATCAATATATTTAAATATAATTTAAATAAGCATGTAATTTAAATACCTCAATTTAAATGAGATCCAAAAAAGAACATTTTTTTGTGTGTGCTTTTCTATATTCTCAGCATTATGGTATTTAATAACTTGATAACAGCTATCATTTATGGAATACTTGCTTTGTGCCAAATAATGCATTAAGTGCTTTTAAAAACATATTGTCATATTAAATCTTTATAACAGTTTTGTAAATTAGGGCACTTAAGTTCTGAGAAAGTTACTGGACTGGACTGTAGTCATGCAGTTATTATAGATGGCAGAAATGGATTACAATACACATCTCAACCACAGCCAATGTATGGGCTTAACCACTCTAGGCACACTCATGCACAGAGCCTCAGAATACACCTATATATTCTGGTAGAAATATTATTATTAAGGGGAATTTCCTATTATAAGCTATTTGATCATGGCTAAATCTGCTCTCGTGTTTGATGGACATTCAGGCCATTATTGTTAGGAGATGGAATTTTGCTACTGAGAAAGCACCCTGGTGTTTTCTCTCTTTCTTGTCTTCTGATTTTATGAGATTCAGTTAGTTCCCATCGGACTTGGCTTGAACTCTGTCATAAGAAGTTTCCAAGAGGGTCTTAGATTGATCTCTAGAATTAGTATGGAGAGGGAGTTGGCTCCATGATCTTACTTTAGCTGCTTTAAGGAGCAGGGTAACTTCTGCAATGACCCTTATGAAAACAAAGATTAGAAGATCAAAATTTTGCTGGGCATGGTGGTGCATGCCTGTAATCCCATTAACTATGTAGGCTGAGGCAGGAGGATCGCAAGTTCAGAGACAACTTCAGCAACTTAGTGAGGCCCTAAGCAACTTAGTGAGACCCTGTCTCAAAATAAAAAAATAAAACTGTGAGGGATGTGGTTCAGTGGTAGAGTGCCCCTGGGTTCAATCCCTGCTTAAAAAAAATTTTTTTTCATGCCATATTTCAGGAGAATAAATCAATTCATATCAACAAGTTTAAAAAGCTTCTGAACAAGAATTTGTATGACCTGAAAAATATGCACATGCCCTAAGACATAAAAATCACTTAAATATAAGGTTATTTTGGTTGTTAGACATTTTATTGGTTTTAACTAAAAGATAAACCTTTATTCACATGGTCATTTGGGCCCTATGTTAAGCCATGGTGTAACCTGGATTGTGGGGGAGAAATTCATCACAAGATAAACCATAATTGGTTAATTAAAAATTGTTAATTAAGCCAATTGATTAGTTGCCACATCATTACAATCACTCAGGTCAGGATACAGGTAACATATTTGGATATGTATTTTCCAATAGAACATACTGTTATTATTTTATTTCAGAGCTGGGGATGGAGCCTCAGGGATACTAGCCAAATGCTCTACCACTGAGCCACACCCACAGCCCAGACTGCCTTCTAATCCTCCTCCTAACCTTATATCAGAGGAATAAAAAAACATAACTTAATACAGCAATGTTCCATATGTGACATACCATCACACCTCCTAGGGTAGTAGAAGGACAATACTTTAAGCTTTTTTTTTTTTTGCTTGAGACAGGGTCTTGCTGTGTTGCCCAGGCTGACCCTGAACTCTTGGACTCAAGCCATCGTGCTGCCTCAGCCTCCTGAATAGCTGGAACTCCAAGCCTATGACCACCTGCCCAGCTCAGGACCATATTCTTAGAAGGAGCGAGCCCCTTGCCCTGTGATTGATAGAAGCCTCCCTCTGAGCAGGGAGGTGTATCAGGAGGCGAGGGCCTAGCTTTACATGAGCAGAGACACATGACAATGTGAGATGGCCCAGGCCAGTGCTGTGCAGGTGTTTTTACTTCCTAAGGTGAGCTTACAGCTCCCGAGGGGGATGGGGGGCAGAGGCAGAAACAAAGAGTTGCCTTAGTTCTAAGAAGAGGGAGGGAAGAAGTCGATAAATTAAATTACATGTAAATAATTAGAAATGTAAAATAAATATAAAATGTAAAATTGTCAAAATGTCAAGTACTGGTTTATGCTTGAAATGTAGGCTGGGGATGAGATACACTATCAAGAGGGGCCACTAAAATAAAGGGTAAATGCTTAGTTTCCATAGGACTTGGCTTGAACTCCGTCATAAGAAGAAGAAATGGTAGAGCTTACCTTTCGGATGTCTTGTACTGTTTCTGAAAAACAAAGAATTTTTTTTTCAAGTTTGAAAATTAAAAATATATCTCTTATATTAGCTAAGCACTAATATTTTATAGGACTTCTAAGCTTAGTGCTTGTAATTGAAGCCCAAAACACTTCTGGGGCTTGGGGCTTAATTTTGAAAAATGCCTTTCCATTATATATCCAGTAACACATCCTCTACTATAGTAGGGAAACCACCTTAGGTTATCTGAGTCTCAGGTGTCTCCCAGAATCCTTGAGAGGAACACACCACTTTAGGTTGAAAAGCTTCAAAAGCTTACAAACAAAAATATGTATACTTCTTGGGGAAAAAAAAACGCCTATGCCCCAAACCATGACAGTCACATAAAGGGGCTGGATTGTACCTCAGTGGTGAAGTACCTCTGGGTTCAATCCTTAATACCGTTAAAAAAGAAAGAAAGAAAGAAAGAAAGAAAGAAAATCACATAAAGATAGGAGAATGTATAGGTCAAGTTTGAGGCATTTTATTGGTTTTAACCAAAAGATACAGCCTTTATCAACAGGGTCTTCTTGGCCCTGTGCTAAGTAGTGTTGCAAATGGAATTGGGGGGAGGTGTGCCTACTCAGTTCTCTAGACACCACTACAGAATGCCTCACCTGTAAGAGTTGACTAATTACAGAAGAAAAACACTTCTCTTTCCATAAAACTTCCCTCAGAGGTCCCCAAACCACTGCCCTTATCCCGCCATGATGCGCAACTGTTGCTTTTACAGGTAAGGATGCACTATGCAACATTCCATTTTCTGCTAAATAGATATGGACCCTCTTGTTGGTAGACAGAAATCTACTTCATTCTTTTTAACAGCTGTGGAATAGAATATCCCATCAGATGCACAGTATACCACAATTTGTTTAAACCACTTCATTAGATGGGAATCTTACGTGGTACTCCATTACAAGTGCTGCCAAGAACGTGAACATATGTCGTTACGTCTGTATGTGGGTGAGTACTTCTACACGGGCCTAAAGGTAAAATTATGGGGTCAAGGGCAAATTTCCATTTTAAATTTACATGGGTATTGACAAATTCTGCTCTGAAAGGATTGCAAAAATTTATCCCCTTCCACAGTAGTTTCAGAGCACCTATTTTTCTATATCTTTTGGCCAAGGTCATAGTTTCATTTAAATTTAAATTTATCTCATTTAAATTGATGCTTTTTTGGATTAGTAACACCCAGTGACCATTTTTAAATTTTACTGGCAGTTGGTTTTTCTTCTGTGAAGCTGCCCCCTTAACATTGATTTTTTTCTCTTTTTATAAAAAGGGTCCTTGGTCTCTTTCTTTGGTTGTATGGTATTTTCTCATGATAGGAACATCTGTGTGTTTTTATGCTTGTCACGATATACTGCAAATAATTTATGTCATCTGACTATATGTTTTATAACGGGACATTTTTGCTTATAGAAATTAATCTTTCTGTGATCCAACCTTCAAACCAGTTCAGCTGTAATTCATCTGCATTTTTTTCTTTACTTTTTGGTGTATTACTTTGAATGAATAAGAAAATGCCAATGTATTTTTGGGACTCACCGCTGGTCTTCAAAACTTTATGTGATCTTGAGGAAGGTTCTGGGAGAAAAATAAAGCATTATTTGCAAAAGGTTCTGGGAGAAAAATTGCATTATTTGCAAAACCCAATCAAAAATTGTCTTCATACATAAATCACTACTTTATTGATAGAAAATTACTAGAGCTCAGGTAACCTATCAAATTTACCTAAATTCCCTTTGCTCAGAGTTACTTAGGAGCAAGAAATTCACTGTCAAAATGTTAAGGAATCGGGAGTCCTAGCATCATAGGACTAGCATCAAAATGCTACGTCACCAAACCTACCAACTACTAGAGACTTTCTCAGCTTCAACTACCCCGTGAGCTGGTAACTTTCAATTTTATATTCTGCGCCAGACGTCTGTCCCAAGTTTCCATCGCAGCAGACTCACCGTCTCAATCTCAGCTTACCATCCTTCCAAATCTGCTCCTGCATCCGGATTTCCTCTGGGCTATCATGGGCCTTGCCCTCCCAAGTTAGTGACCAGGACTTTACTCTACATTCCTCCTGGTTTTATCCATCACAGTCTGGGGGCTCCTGAGAAAGTGTCACCCCAGTTACCACTCTCGAATCCAAGTCCTCATCTTTCCCTCAAACTAGCATGACAGTCTCCCTCCTGCCCACTTCACTCTCCACGTGGAGCCAGAGTTCTGTCTCTAGAAGGCAAATATTCTGTTCATTGCTTAAAATCCTTCTGTGGCTGCAAAATTCAAAGCCTAGGGCAACGCCTTTAGGTCCCAACTGTACATCTTGAGCCTGGTCTCCTTCCACCTTCCCCTGCTCCACCCCACTGTCCAGTCAGGCTGAATGACCAGCAGCCACTGTCTGTCCTCAGGAATGTCGGTGCAAGTCTCAGGGCCTCAGCACATACTATTCTGGCCCAGTCTGCCTTCTCCAGATTCCATCAGGGGAACTCCCCTCCTCTCTGGGACACCTTTTCTCCTCTTCTTAGAAAGTTAATCTCTCTCCTTTATCCCTCCACTCTTCCTTCCATCCCTCCTGTGTCACAATGCCATCAGACTGATTGGTGTTTATTCCCAATATTTTGTCACTCACTCCCACAGGGAGCTCCTTGCAAACAGGAATCACATGCATTATTTTTCCTTGCATTCCATGTCTCCAGCAAGGCATTCAGTAGGTACTCAATAAACACTGATTAAAAAAACAAAAAACCAAGATCCTTGGGCTAAGCAAACACTGACTGCATGCAGTCCGATGTAGCAAATATGTACTTATATTTTAGGCTGGAATAATCTTTTGAGGTGTCGTTCACAAGATAACAGTTTTCATTAGCAACAGCAAACAGGGTTTAAGTAACTACAGACCCATGGTAAGATGCTCTACAAAGCAAGATTAGTTGATATGTCTTCTATTCACAGGAAAAGAGAGCATTAAGGATAAAAGAGTTTAAAATAAAGGCTGCAGAGGCTTGTTTTAAGGCAGGCTCAGGTGCAATCAAACAAGTAGTGAGCTCAAAAGGCCTGTCACCGGCAAGGAACTGCCAGTGTCCTGTTAATATCATGTTTTGATCATAACATCCTTTTTTATTCTTCTTGGTGGTATTGGAGATTGAACCCAGAGCTGCCTTATCCCTGAGCTGCATCCTCAGTCCTTTTCATTTCTTATTTTGAGACAGGATCTTGCTAAGTTGCTGAGGCTGGCCTCAAACTTGCAATCCTCCTGTCTCAGCCTCCCAAGTCGCTGGGATTACAAAACATCCTATTTACCAGATTTTCTTCTGAGCCGATAGGGTGTAGAACCTTCTCTAGAGCCACAGGATGCTTTTGTCTCTCCCTCAGGGCTGTAACAGAAGCCTGGATGATCTGTAAAGATAACAACAGGCAGAGTGAGTGCTCTGGGCTCCTTGGAAAATAGTCACATCTTGTTTGAATAATTTATGGATTTTCTTTTTCACCAGACATATCCTACCCCCATAACTGGCATTCACTGCATCTCAGGTTTTTTCTTACATGCAGGATTCCAAGATGCACTGACTGCCCTCCTGTTCTCTCCCCCTCCTCCGTCTTCCTCTGCCTTCCATTTTTACTCCTTAGCAGAAGGAGCTGTCAATCACCAGCTTTGCCACTCTTCCCTTTATGCCCTGTGGCAGTTGTCCCCAGTGCAGTATTCTTTTTTTCTTTTTAAAATTTGACAACAATATGCAAAACTGTGAGCAAGTTGCTTCCGTCTCTAGAGGGTTTCTTTTTTTTTTAAATGTATATATGACAGCAGAATGCATTACAATTCATATTACACATATAGAACACAATTTTTCATATCTCTGGTTGTATACAAAGTATATTTACACCCATTTGTGCTTCACACATGTACTTAGGATAATAATGTCCATCACATTCCACCATCATTTCTAACCCCAGGTCCCCTCCCTTCCTCTCCCACCCCTCTGCCCTATCAGAGTTCGTCTATTCTTCCCATGCTCCCCCTCCCTACCCCACTATGAATCAGCCTCCTTATATCAGAGAATACATTTGGCATTTGGTTTTTTGGGATTGGCTAACTTCACTTAGCATTATCTCTTCCAACTCCATCCGTTTACGTGCAAATGCCATGATTTTATTCTCTTTTATTGCTGAGTAATATTCTATTGTCTATAAATGACACATTTTTTTGACCATTCATCTACTGAAGGGCATCTAGGTTGGTTGCCAGTTTGGCTATTGTGAATTGTGCTGCTATATACATTGATGTGGCTATGTCCCTGTAGTAGGCTGCTTTTAAGTCCTTTGGGTATAGACCAAGGAGAAGGATAGCTGGGTCAAACGGAGGTTCCATCCCCAATTTTCCAAGGAATCTCCATACTGCTTTCCATATTGGCTGCATCAATTTGCAGTCCCACCAGAGTGTATGAATGTACCTTTTCCCCCACATCCTCACTAACACTTTTTGTTGTTTGTATTCATAATAGCTGCCATTCTGACTGGAGTGAAATGAAATCTGAGAGTAGTTTTGATTTGCATTTCTCTAATTGCTAGCAATGATGGAAGCAGGTGGCATCACTGTACTAGACCTTAAACTATACTACAGAGCAATAGTAAAAAAAAAAAAAAAAAAAAAAAAAACCCGACAAAATAGCATTGTATTGGCACCAAAACAGACTGGTAGACCAATGGTACAGAATAGAGGACACAGAGACTAACCCATAAAATTACAATTATATTAAACAAAGGCACCAAAAACATGCATTGGAGAAAAGATAGCCTCTTTAACAAATGGTGCTGGGAAAAACTGGAAATCCATATGCAACAAAATGAAATTAAATCCCTATCTCTCACCATGCATAAAACTCAACTCAAAATGGATCAAGGACCTAGGAATAAAACCAGAGACCCTGTGTGCCTAACAGAAGAAAAAGTAGGCCCTAATCTCCATCACATGGGATTAGGCCCCAACTTCCTTAATAAGACTCCTTTGGTGCAAGAATTAAAATCAAGAATCAATAAATGGGATGGATTCAAACTATAAAGTTTTTCTCAGCAAAAGAAACAATCTGTGAAGTGAATAGAGAGCCTACATTTTGGGAGCAAATCTTTACCCCTCACACATCAGATAGAGCACTAATCTCTAGGGTATATAAAGAACTCAAAAAGCTAAGCACCAAAAACACAAATAACCCAATCAATAAATGGGCCAAGGACTCCAGTGCAGTATTCTTAAAAATGTTTACAGACATTGTTCCTTTAAGCATCTGGTGAAAGATTTAAATCCAGAAAAGGAATTTTCATTGAGTTCATGTCTTTCTGCCCCTGCGAGGCAGCACACAGACTTTGGATTAAGAAACTCTGGTCTAATCCTAAAGACACGCAGCATATCCAGTGACTGAATATGGCACCTTGAAGGCCAGCACTCCGGGTATAAAGCCATAAACTGGTGTTCCTCAAATTAGAGGCAGTGCTTCCAGGAGCCCAGGTTCAGAGGACCTCAAAGGCCACATGCACATCTTCAGAGATGCAGGTAACATTAACTCAAGGGAGGTCATCTGTTCCAATGGACTGGCCTCCCTAATCATACTGCCAAGTCCAAACTCAGTAGGCCGGGGGGTGGGGTAGGGAGCAAAGAGATGCTGTTTTCTTACAAATGACACTTTATAAACTCTTCATAAGAGAGAAAATGTGATGATTACAAGTAAGGAATATTTCAATTTATGTTAAGGACATAAAACTTACGAATGGCATCCATTTCAAGTATTGCTTGCTTGGCCTGAAAGAGAAAGTGTAGCTGTAATTACAAGTATTATTATTATTTTTCTTTAATCTACTAATTCTAATACAGTTCTTATCCCACCTGAATAAAGAAATTAGAAAAAGCTTTAAATGACTGTTTCTTGCAGACATTAAAACACAGATCAGGAGCTCAGGGAATTCAATGAGATAAATGCCCTCATGGGCACCGTAGATGCTGCCCAACTGAGACTCCAGAGCTAGGGCTGACCCCCCAGCCCCCCGCCAATCTGCAAAAATAGATGGAGAAAGGAAGAGTTGGTTTTAAGCCCGGTTGATCATCAGGAATCATTCATTGGGTAGCTGATAAAGAAACGTATACTCCTGCGACCCATAGTGGTCTACCGAATCAAAAGCCCAAGGCCCAGAGCCTGGCATCTATATAACACCAGCCCTCCCCATGCCACTGGGTGGTCCCTAGAATCACAGTCTCCCTCAGTGTCCCATTCCCAGCATGCCCCAAAGGTACAAAAACTGATGGATACTCAAGTCCCTTACATGAAGTGATAAGTATTTGCATATAACCCCCCACCCACATCCTCCCGTATACTTTAAACCCCTTCTAGATTACTTATAATCCCTAATCCAATATAAGTGCTATGGAAATAGTTATATAATTATTCATTAGGGAATAATGAAAAGGAAAAAAAGGCTAAATGTTCAGTGTAGCCGTAATTTTTTTCCTAACATTTTTTATTTGCATTTGGCTGGATCTGCAGATGTGGAAGCCCTGTTGTTGGTGGGTGGGGGGCTGTCTATTTTTAGTTGATTGGAATATGGCTGCTGGAGTTTGCTCTCACTGCATCTCTCCTCCCAAAGGCTGCATGGTGACCATCAGGTTTCTTGCCCTGTCTCCATGGCCTCCTTCACCTCCCGTCTCTTCTGGGTGCCCCAGGCAGGGGGAAAAAAGGTACAGTGTGGAGTCAAGGTGCTGAGGGTCACTGTGATCCCAGCTCGGGCACACAGCCAGGTGGTGGGTGCTGTTGTCTCTGGCTGAGCTTCCTCCACTGTCAGAAGGGACTGCAGTGGGACCCACAGGTGGAGCTGCATTAACATCGGGCACAGGCACTCACCTGCCTGCTGCTGCTGCTGCCCTCCTGGGGGCCGTGTCCAGTGACCTGCTGCTCTACTTAGCCCTCCCTCTCCAACCCACCTTCTGAGGGCTAATGCTTTGGAGGTTTCTTTTTGTTATTATTATTGCCATATGTTACGGATGTGTAGGGTGTTATAAAAAGGCAAGCTGATTTTCTTAGCCAACTTGCCTAAGGATTCAAAGAAAAGTAATCAGTTTAGATGGCCTTTATAGCCTCTTTGGTGTCATTTTTATGAAGTGTATCTTAACCTATAAAACTATGATAAAATGACTCAAAATAATTTCACTCCTACTTTCTGAAATCTTTGATATTATAAAATGTTTAGGCTAAATGGTAATCATATTTAGTTTAAGAAAGTGAGGGAAGAGAGAGAGAGGCCTCAACACAGTCACCTTAGCTTTGAGAAAACAAAATACTTAGATTTTTGTTATGTTGATATTTCTATTTTAAATTCAGAATTTGAGATTACCAGTTGGAATTAAATTTCAAATACAAGTGATAGCTCAATTTCTGGAAAGCATGTTTCTAGAACCATGTTAATATATGAAATGCAAAATTATTAATTTTTAAATTAATAATTAATCATTATTAATTAATTTGGATAAGAGTTCAGTCTATATAACATCTAGATGAATGAGAATAGGGCTACTTCCAGGGAATTCCCTGTTATCTGTAATCCTGAACAAAGTATCTGTCCCCCAACCTTGACATTTAATTTCAAAAAAAGTACTATTCCCAGAGTTTCCACTAGGTGTCAGTCAAGGACCATCGTGGAATTAAAGGAGTAGGTGGAGGCTGGGAGGAGTTAAACTAATGAATCTCCAACAGCTGTGTTGACACTTAGATCAGTGATACATTTTTACCTAAAATGCCCCATTATACATTTATTTTATTTTGTAGAAATACATTTTGAAAGCTTTAAGAAAACAATCTAAGAAATAGTCTTGATGAAAGATGTAGCTTTCATCAAAAAGTTCAACGTAATCCTTTTATTTATATTATAACATTACAGTGGATTAAGTATATGAAATAAGTGTATTTTTATCACCCGTGGGAACAATATGGTTAAGAAGTTCCTTGCAGGCAGACAGACCTTGGTTTGAGTCTGAGTTTAGTCATGTACTAGTGGTAAAACTTGCACAACTTAATGTCTCTGAACCTCTGTTTTTAATGCTCTTGAATTAGACTTATTTCATAAGGTGTTTTGCTGAGGGTGAAAGAAGATACAGTACAGCACAGTGTATATGTGATCAATGAGTTGTAACTTGAAAAAATTTAGATTCTAAAAGGATCAACAACTTAGGTGAAAAATACAATTCTACTATGGCTATGTCAACTGTTCACACATACAGGCAAAGGGCCAAGAGCACACACACACACACACAGGTGTAGGAGAAAGGGGACAGGTATGCAGGCTAGTCTGGTTTTGTAATGGTCTATAATTGCCTTTCAGAATCTTCTTAAGCAACTTGGATTTTCCCAGGAGACTTGTAATCAACAGGTGGGGCATGGGACACATGCTGCCATTACTCAGAGGGCCTCCAGGGCACCAGGCCAGCAACCCCAGTTAGCTCTTTTTTTTTTTTTTCCCCAGTTAGCTCTTGAGGACTAACTTCAAAAGCTTTTCAAAATACACAGAGGGCAAAACAGACTCTCTTCTCAGAGCTCAGTCCTCCTGATCTCCCACCCAGGTCCACTCCCATGATTATGGCCCCACTCTCTGCCCCTCCTCCCTCCCACTGTGGACCATTCCACCATCTACCTGGCTCACCGGTAATGACACTCACCCCTGCACCATAGTCCCTTGGCTACTTTATCTCTAGAAGTTCAGGAAAGATGTTTCCAACCCTTCCCAAGACTAGCTCCTATTGCTGCGCTGATGGGCCTATTGTTCCCACCTTCCCAGGTCTCACTCCAACAAACATCCTTCTCCTGGCCTGACTAGCTCCTGTTTCCCTTCCTATCCCCTGCAGCCCTCTTACCCACATGATATCTTTGTGTGTATGTGTGTGTGTGTGTGGGGGGGTACTGGGGGTTGAACCCAGGTGCATTCTACCACTGAGCTACATCCCAGCCCTTTTTATTTTCAGACAAGGTCTTCCTACCTGGTGAGGCTGGCCTCAAACTTGTGGTCCTCCTGCCTTAGCCTCCTGTGCCATTGCATCTTACTTTGCTTTGGTTTTTCCCCAACCTACCAGCTTTTTCCTTTTCTGAACTTTGTGAAATGAAGAAGTGACACCTGGTCTGTTCCTCATTTCGCCCTTGCTCTTTGACCCACTCAGACCCTTTTCTTCTTAGCTGCCAACCCTAAAAATCTGTCTTTCCATTTGAATTGTTTGACCTTTGCAAGACTGTTCTCTGTTCCCTGTCTGTGAGATTCACCTTCCTTTGCTGGCTCAATGCCCTTCCCTGCTTCTCTTACGGCCCCTTTTTCTTTTTCTGTGCTTCAGATCCGCCTCCCCTTTTAGACCACTCACTGGGATTCCCAAGGGGCCTTCTTTCCTCTACACACTTTTGAGAACCATCCTGTCAAATCTTACGGCTTCCATTTCTGTCTCTCCTAACCCTCAGCTCCCAGAACCTGAATTTCTACCTGCAAGGGTCCTGCCTCCCCTGCTCCTCGACCCCCATCGAACCAGTTCTCCCCGCCTCCCAGCTTGCTGGGGACTCCAGCGCCATGCTCTGGGTGCAGGTCACGATTGACACTGAATCTCAGTGGGCCAACGCCCGTTCCTCTGCCTCACAAGCTGTCTCACCTCTCTCCCTCTGTGGCCACCACAGCCACTGCTCCTCATCTCACCACGCAGACTCCATGGTGCATGGTCCAAAGTCCTCCCTCAGCTGACTGAGCCTTCCAGCCTCACCTCCTACTCTGACCCCTGAGAGCTTGGCCCTCCCGGGTGGGCAGCGCCTCTGGGCCCTGAGCACAGTGCCCTGTTCTCTCCTGCTTGTTTACACGTTCTTTCAGCCTGGTTTCCCTTCACTTATAAAAACATTCCTCATCCTTCAAGAATGAAGTAAAGGCACTTTCCTTCCTCTCCCAACTCAAATAGACATTTGTCCTTCCGTGACACCTGGCTTACAGTGCCATTATTTCACCATGTTGAGCAAACAGGTCAGGGGTTACAGGGCCAGCTGCCCCTACTCTGAGTACACTCACTGCCACACCTGGGGCTCGTTTCTCTGGGTGCTGTTCCCTTAGCACCTAGGTGGTCTTTCCTGTGTGGCCGGTTCTTAGTGCCCCTCTGAGTATTTCTCATACTCTATTTTCTTTTGCTTTTTTTTTTGGTACTGGGGGTTGAACTCAGGGGCACTCAACCACTAAGCCACATCCCCAGCCCTATTTTGTATTTTATTTAGAGACAGGGTCTCATTGAGTTGCTTAGCGCCTTGCTTTTGCTGAGGCTGGCTTTGAACTTGTGATCCTCCTGCCTCAGTCTCCCGAGCCTCTGGGATTACAGGCGTGCGCCACCACGCTCAACTTCGTACTCTATTTTCTGTTAGTCCTCTGGAACTTTCCTTACAGTCTTTCCCCTCACTTCTTTCAATCTCCCAAGGTGGGGAACACCTCAAATAGAGCCCACTATGAGCGAATCTCTGCAGCATTGGGTGGTGGAATCAGTCCTTACAGACTTGACATCTCAGATGCTCTTTTTCAACTGAGCCTCGCTTCCTGTCTGGCTGCCCTGCTAGGACCTGACCCCTTTCTCGGCCACTGTCTGCTGACTGCATCTGTCGTCTTACCTTAGCTGGAATCTTTGCCGCATGGTTCTCCAGGATCAGTCTCTTCAGGTGCAGAACCCAGAGCCGCTTGTCTTGCTGGGACTTAGCCTACGGGGCAGATGGAAGAGTCAGATGTTGGACAGTTGGACAGATGTTGGACTCCTTTAGCCCCCTGATGAGATGGGAAGCACTCTGTGTGGTCAGGAAAACCTGGAAAGGCCCTGGCACCCAGCACTCCTCGTCCCCGAGAGGGGCCCAGGGAAGAGGAGAGGCCCTCTTTACCTGAACTGTGTGCTGCAGCTTGGGGTTCTTGTAGTGGAAGACGCTGAAGCTGAGTGGCTCCTTGGGGATCACCTCCACGAGCATGAGGTTGCCACACTGGAGCAGAGAGAGCACGGAGGTGAGGCCCACTCTGGGGAGAGGGAACAAGCAGCCCCCCGCCCTTGCCCCCTGTGTGACTGGTGTTCACACCTACCAGGATGTGAGCTTTGTATGTAAAGGTGTCGTCCCTCTTCTTGGTGATGAGAAGCAGCTTGTCAAGGAGGAAGAGCGTCCGCTCATTCTTGGCCCGCTGGAGACGGAAGGTTCCCTCGAGCACCAGTTCCCCATAGCTGGTGAGGTCTGGCCCCTTCCAGTTTGTGAGCAAACTCTGTATCTCCTGGAAAAGGGGAGGCCCCGTGGATTCAACAGGAGGCAAAGGCTCTGTGGCCCATCCACTGAGCCTCAGGAATGGTGACTAATGATCTATGACATAAATCTGCATTTCTGGGTGGTATCACTCAAGGGTTAACAAAAATGAGTCAAGCTGTAAGTTGCTGAGTTGCCAATTACTTATTTCTATTCCTTAATAATTCCTATGCTGTGGGTGGCAACAGCAGCTACATCTTTCAAAAGCTTGGGAACAGGACCACCAGTTGGGACTTCTTGGTGGGCATCCTTTCTCTGACCTTCTGACCTCCTGTTCTCCAGAAGAAAAAAATCTATAGAGAGGTTGACTTGAAATCTTTCTTTGAAAAACTGAAGTCCATACCATGTAGACGTTACACAAAATTAAATTGTGTGCACGATCATGAGACATATTTTCTCAGAAGCTTCCTGTTTTTAATTCACTGATTTCGGGAAAGGAAATGAACATTTCTCTGCTGCTATGTTTTAGTGTTTTTAGTGGAACTTGGTAAATATAGAAATGGGTAGCACGATTGACATTTCTTTAGGATTTGTTGTACATTAATATTGCTTAAGGAAGATGATGTCATTATTTTGAAAAATGAAAATGTTCACAAGTACCACTTAATTAAGGAAGCCACAAGATAATAAAAGACTTCATTGGTTGAAAACAGAAAGCTCTGTGGTACAGTGCTTGCCTAGCATGTGCAAAGTCCTGGGTTTGATAACCCATGCCATAGGCAAAAGGAAGGAAGGAAAGAAAGGAAGGAAGGAACTAGAAATGGTGATAAGTTTGACCAGAATCTAATTTAGCACTGTCTTCAGAATGCCAACAAAGGTTTGCCTGATGCCTGCAATACACTTGAATGACTAAGCATTAAACTTTCTGCTACTACTGCAAAAAACAGATATGGCATGAAAGAGTAGGATGTTGCCCCCCTCTGATTTTTGACTCTATGGCATGATATCATATACTCTCCTGCCCACCTGCCTAGATTTTTTTCTGTCTTATGAGCCAAATGATGCATTGTGTCCCTGCATAGTGTGGAGTCAACTCTGGGCTTTTTTGTTTTACTTTAGGGACACCCAAGAAGTTAGAACTGGATTTTGGGCCTGTATGTTTTGTTTTTGTTTTTAAATAGCTTTTAAAGAGGGCTATTTTTTTGAGATTTCTAGGATAATTGGCACAGCATCTATTAAAAATTCCTGAGTGTTTTAGGGATCAAAATGTTGGTGCTAGATGGGACCTTAGCAAACTTCTCATTTGACTGTCTCATTTTAACGATGAGGAAACTAAAACGATGTGCTTGAGAACCATCTCATGGTTTTGCAGGAATGAGTGAGAAAGAATAGAAGCTTAAAAGGTCTAGGTACTTTGCTTTTAACAAAAATTTCTAATTTATAATTTTATTACTTAACATAAGATAAGGCCTTGGGAGATGAAAGTTTTTAGCTTGGGTCTTCAAAGGGCTATAAGCAAGTTATTAGCTAAATTACATAACTACTTTGTCTTAAATAGCTACTCTAAACAATGGTCATTATTGTTGGTGCCCTGATCTTTCTTCAGGGAGAATTATGATGAGGACCATAAATGAAGTATGATATTTGTGCAATCTTAATATTGGATTTGATTTTGGAAATGATACATATCTGTGTCCCTGCAGCCCTGCTGGGTACTGACACCTTGCTGTGGGCTCACCTGTAACCGGACCGCATGTTCGTGTTTCCGCTTCATGTCATTGATGTGCCAGGCCACGCGCTGCATAGTGTCTATAGCATCAAGCACCACATCGTAGCCATCTGTGTCCTTGTCAAGGTGGTTTTCTATTTCCTTTAAAAAAACACACACACAAAAATAACTACTTGTTTTCCATTTTTTGCATATAGCAAGTAATGAATAACATCTTGTAACTAGTTTCTTATATTTTATTTGTGCTTATTTATTTATTTGCCTACTACTATCATTCCTTAAGATTTTGAGAAACTTACCAGGAATACCTGCCACAAAATGATAAGATGGAAATAAAAAATAGGTCTAAAAATAATACAAGAATATTAGAATTCCAGGAAAGGCTATAACATACAGTAAGTCTCAAAGAGATATGACAGTTATAATAGATATGAGAATTGATCTTACAGCTGAGAGTTCTGAGCTTCTTGGTGACCAAGGTAATATCGCTCTCAGTGATACAGTTCTCACTCTTACAAGATCAAAATACATATCTTTTTTTTTTTCTTTTATAGAGGAAACAAAATTTCTCACAAAGACCTCAAAGTGTCACAGACTCAAAAATGTAGTAGACATTATCTTAAAAAAAAAACAAAAAAAACAACCAAACAAACAAACAAACAAAAACCTCCATAGGGGCCAGAAGGTACAACTCAGTGGTAGAACAGGTGTTTAACATTCAGAAGGCCCTAGGTGAAGATCCCTGGCACCAAAACCAAACATGCAAATAGAAACCTCTACAGCAAGCACATTTTCATGCAGACATGAGGTTTTAGAACCTCAATGAGGTTCACTGAAGACAGTCTTTTGGAGTGTCAAGGAAGTTCACAGGTATCATGCACTAACTTGTCTGATGGTTTCAGCAGGTTATGTTAGCACCCATATTAGCATGGAGTTCCACAGCCCCAGGGAAGGAAGAGAGGGATACCACCTCTGTTCTAATTCCTTTTCTTTTCATTCATTCATTCATTGGTGTGGTACTGGGAAGTGAAAGCAGGAGCTTTCTGCTTCTGAGCTAGCTATATCCCCAGGAATTTTTAAAATTTTCGTGTTGAGGCAAGGTCTTGCTAAATTTCCCAAGCTATGCCAAGTACTGAAGAAAAAAACAATGTTCAGACTAACCTGGAAATTGCAACCCTTCTGCCTCAGACTCCCCAGTAGCTAGGATTATAGGCATGCACAGCACTTTGCCCTGCAACCTCTGTTCTAATTCTTTAGAGGATATTAGACTCCTGTACCTGGATCCCTTAGGAGTCAAAGACTATTCTTTTTATCTCCTCCATAATACCTAACAGACAGGTGGTCAATTGATGTTTTTCTTTTCTTCTGGTGCTGGGGATGGAACCCAGGACCTCCATCATGCTAGGCAAGTATTCTATCACTGAGCTACACTCTCGGCTCCAATAAATGCTTATTAAGGTAAAACTATATTTTCTTAAAAACAACAATAACTCTAATCTCTCTATGGATATATGTAAATAAATTGCATCTATATAGAATATGAACAGACTTCTTTTCCTTATTATTATTCCTTAAACAATATGTTATAATAACTGTTTATAAAGTGTTTATACTGCTTTAGGTATTATAAATTATCTAGAGATGATTTAAAGTATAGGGGAGGTTACACATGCATTGTATAATACACAAGCCTACATAATTTTATATAAGGGACTTGAGCACCTGTGGCTTTGGTATCCTTGAAATCAATCCCCTGCAGATACCAAGAGACAATCACATCTACAACAGTAAGAAACTGTGCCTTAGATCATTTCTATGACATTTATTGTGCAAAATCAGTTAAAAGTGGCAGAGGCTGAATCTTATGGCATAATTTCTGCAAATTAATTCCCATTATTTTACAGTGACACTTTGTAAATATTAGTTTACTTTTACTGGGTATGCAAATTTTTCATGTAGTTAAAAACTGGAAAGGAATTTACATTTTTATCCCCATACTCAGACTCAGGGGTTTGAAGGTCCTATGAAACCATACCGCTAAGCTAGTAAGTCCAGGTAAGCTCCAGATTAGTAGCAAACTAAGAAATATTAATTTCTTCTTGTAGTTCGAGAGGCAATCCTGCCCAACAATGATCAGGCTGAGAGGAGCAGAGGATCCTGCTCTGAGGATATTCATGGTTCCCTGTACAGCTTGACGATGTGAGTGACACAAGGAACATCTAAGCCACCTATAGAAGCAACACATCTTGATGCCGACCTGGAGCTAGTGTGGATTTATCCACTCACTGTTCTTCCCTTTTCTTTATTATTAGCCCAAGACAGAGAGTGAGGCTGTTCTCCTCACCAGTGCACTTTCTCTAAGGATCCTGACTTGCCATCTCTCAGGCTGTTCTGAGAACTTCACTTTCTTTTGCTGGTTGGTCACCTTCCTGTCTAGAAGACCACAATAAGTCTTAGCTGGGATATTAACAGAGTTCAGCAGAAGTCTGTCCTGGGATAAGTATTATTTATTTAAGAATTATTTGGATGCTGATTTAGCAAACTTACTCCACTAAATCTAAAATGTCATTAGGACCAATTTAAAAATTAAATATCTCCAATGTGGATAAATGGGGCAAACAGACAAAGCGAAGAAATTTCTGGTAATGTTGGACTGAAAAAGTTCTCTGGATTAAAATCCCTTTAAGGGAAGATATTTAATATATTGTGAAAGAAATAAACTGCAAACACTGGCTTATTTTTATTGAGTGCCTTGAGCCTTGGGAAGGTGGGCACCTTCTAGGCTTCGGAGGCAGGCTGCTTGTCCCAGAGCCCTACCCCTGACCTTCCTGCTCTACTTCTTGCCCGTGGTGCAGAGATAAGCATTCCACATCTAGAATGCAAATTCCTTCAATAAAACTTTTTTTCCCATTTTTATCAGTCTCCTTAGAGGCTAAGAAATGAGAATTTGAGAGCTGTGTCTATCTTTGATCGAAAGACTCTTTGAATTTTATAAAAGTATTGGAAAACACTATAAAAGGGAAGATATCTGGAAGTGAAGCCTCTCCCGCTCAGGGAGCCCTCACCTCCTGCACATTCTGTCCCCCCCCCTCCCAGCCCCTCCTCTTTGCTCTCATAAAGGAACCAATCTATGGCAAATAGCTTTCTCTCTCAACTTCCTACTGAATTGGGACTCATGGAAATAAAATAAAACAGGAAAAAACCTGTTTTCCATTTGGATGATAGCTCCCTGTCTGGACTGTCACAGCTCAGTGCAAGACACTCGTAAGCCCTGTCACCATCCGAGCTGAGATTAATCTTTTGATTTGGCCGTGGTCGGCGGAGCTGCAGGCCTAGAATATAAATATCTCTAATTCCTCAAAGCAGATTAGCCAGTTGTAAAGCATGAGAGTGGAAAATGATTCCATATGTCCACAGCCTTTTCTGGTATTTTCCCCAAAACTTAATGTATACACACAAGATCTCCATCCCGTTGGAAAGTGCTCAAGCGCAAGCAGAGACTCACATGCAAAAGGAGATGATACTTGAGAATCCGCTGAACTGGTTTCAGGAGATAGGACCCCAGAGGCAGCGAGTGTTTCAGAGTTTCCTGGCGTTCCCGGAAGAACTTGGCCAGCATCTTGTTCCTCATGCACTCGGTTAGCACGGCCACTGACCTGCAAGAGGAACAATTTTTTTTTTATGTCAGTGTGATGCAGGGCAGGGTTAGCTGAGTTTTGATGCAGCACCATGGGCTCAAGGCTTCTAGTAGCAAGGTCCTTCCTTCTAGAAGACCAGGTGCATGCCAGGGCATGTGGCTTGGCAAAAGGAATCTGAGCTGGATTTTAGCCCCTAGGTGTGCTCTACCTGGTATCTTCAAGCAGTGCTCACACTGTAGATCTCACACAGTTTCCACAAGTCAATTTTAAGGTACTTTGTACTAAGAATAGTTCCCTCTTCCCAGTAGATCCTTGCCAGTAAATGCCTACCAGGGCATTTGTCAACCCTGATGGTTAGCTCTGTATACTGCAAAGCTGTATGGCTTTATGTGGTGGCTCTTCTGGGAGACCTTTCCCCACAGTTAACTTCCATTTGAGAATCCTGGAACAGATAGATCCCCTTTCCACCTCCAAGTGCTTCTCCTCCTTCTAGAAGGTCTCAGTCCTCAGAGAGAGTGCCTCACTGAAGGGTATTAGAAAAGTGGGTGGGAGTTCCTTCTTAGCCCAGATCCCAGAAAGTAACTAAGGATGGTGCTAAAACAGCTTCCAGGAACAGGAGAAAGAGTGCTGGCACCTCACAACTAAAGCATGCTGAGGGGCTCGGTGGTCACACACACACACACTAACATCTATGGTCTCAGAACTCAGAAGGAAGCAGGTAGGAAAAATTTCATCCCTTTTATTCCCCAAGTCACGAACATGTTTTCACGATTAATTGAGACAATCAGAGTCAAAAAACAAAATAAGACTCCTTGGAAAGAAGTTCAATGCAAGTCTCATAATTAAGTTGTTGGACTCTCCTTTGTACCCATTTGTTTTCAGAATATCGGTTCAAACTGATTTATAAATTTGAGTCCAAATCTCAAAACTACCCATCAGATGACCTGGGACCTTTTCTCAGGTTCCCCCACCCCCACCCCCCTCAGAACCCGCTGCCTGGTAGCTCCTTAGCTGCCTGATAGCTTGAGCAGCTGCTGGAGAGTGACTTGTGTCACAGACTGGGAGCATGCAGGGCACCAGGTACCCAGAAGTCCTCATTACAGGACAGGCATCTGAGGACACTGACCTGGTCCTGTTTGTGCTCCTCCCTGGGGTAAGGAAGGAGGGGCTTGTGCCTCTTCACAGTGAAATCACAGGGCACCACTGGCAGGAAGAAAGAGGACACTGGTCAGTGTGCCAGGCCACTTAAATGTCACCAGATTGGATCCAAGGGGGAAAGAAAAATTTGTCAGATGGGCCACAACACCTGGCACTCTTGGCTTATTAAGACAGGGGAAAGGGAACCTCAGGCCTCAGACCAAACTGACTGGACGAGGGACAAGAACTATTTCTCTGTGAATATGAAAACCCTGCAATTGGGAAAGAAGCAGAGATGGCTTCCTCATCCAGAACGCCTTGCAAGCACCGCTCTGCCAACTCAGTTTCAAGTCAGACTTGAAATTAAAACAAAACAAAACAAAAACCAAACAAAGAAACCCACTCCACTTTCTCTAGTAAACTGTTCTTAACTACCCCTCACTGAGACTTATCACTTCTTGAACTTCGACTACACATTACTGAGTGTGTGTGGTACTGGGGATTAAACAGAAGTGTTCCATCACTGAGCCACATCCCCAGCCCTTTTTATTTTTCATTTTGAGGCAGGGTCTTGCTAAGCTGGTTAGGGCCTTACTAAGTTGCTAGGCCTTACTAAGTTGCTAAGGCTGGCCTTGAACTTGCAATCCTCCTGACTTGGCCTTCTGAATAGCTGGGATATTCCAGGCATGTACCTGGAATTTAGCCTGGCTAAAATCACCCTATTTAATTTACACTTATTATTTGATCTTCCATAACATGCTATTCCACTATTGCATTTAGTTAAGTTCTACCCTCAAAAGAATATAAACTAGGCCAGGTGCAGTGGCACATGCCTGTAATCCCAGTGGCTCAGGCGGCTGAGGCAGGAGAATCACGAGTTCAAAGTCAGTCTCAGCAAAAGCAAGGCTCTAAGCAACTCAGTGAGACCCTGTCTCTAAATAAAATACAAAATGGGGCTGGGGATGTGGTTTAGTGGTTGAGTGCCCCTGAGCTCAATCCTCAGTACCCCCCTGCCCCCCAAAAGAATATAAACTGCTTGAGACACTGGTTCTTTATTTTTTGTGGATTTCATTTAAGTTTGGAACTGTGCTCCATGAATGACAGGCTCCTTCCGTAACTCATGGCCTCATGCACACAAGGCAAGGGCTCTACCATGAGCCATACCACCATCCCTGAATGGTAGGTTCTTAAAAATGTTCTTACAACCATTCACAATAGCCAAACTATGGAACCAGCCTTGGTGACCATCAACAGATGAATGGCTAAAGAAAATGTGGTATAGATACACAAGGGAGTTTTAATCAGCCATAAAGAAAAATGAAATTATATAATTTGCAGGAAAAATGAGACTATTATGTTGAGCAAAATAAGCCAAACTCAGAAGGTCAAGGGTTGTATGTTTTTCTATCGTAAGTGAAAGGTACAAAGGAAAAAGGAAATGAAAGGGTGGGAGATTTCATGAAAATCAAAGGGAGATCAGTAGAATAGAGGAAAGGGACCAGGGGGTGGGAGGAGGGGAGGGAAGGGGGAAATACTGGGAATGATATTGGCCAAATTATATTGTTATATTGTGTGCATGTATAAATATATAATCAACCCACCATCATGTATAGTTAAAATGTAACAATAAGAAATGTGGAAAAATAATGTTCATGCAAAAGGGATTTTGCCTTTCCCCAGACTCTGAAGCAACCCAACATGTGAAAGGCCGCCTTTATTTTGTACTTTCCTTTTTTAGTAAATCTTCTGAATTTGCAATCTGGGAAGGTCCTATTACAGATTCTGATCATCGAGTCCAGAACTTTGTTGATTATTCACTTTGAAGGCTTTTCCCTCAGGAAGAAGTTTGTGGAGAAGCCGAGGGCTGAGTCTGTGATTTCTCTGCATAAGGGTGTGGTGTAAACTGGTTTTTGGCTGAAGGACCCTGGAATTTTGCTGGAGCACCCTACAGTTTCCTGATTTTCAGCATCGAGGTGGAAACAAATAGTACAGGAGAGAAAATTGCTTGAGTAAAACTGTGAAGCAGGGGTGTGTCTATAGATAGGGATATGTGATAAATGCTCCAATATGCATGCAGGATGCTTTCCTTTCTTTCTTTTTATGGAAAATTTGGATAAAGCATGGTTGGCCACCAACCAATAAATCCCCGCAACACAATATCCTGACAAATATTTAGAAAAGGACAGTAAGATCCTCTAATAGGAAGTATTTTATCATCAGTAAATCTGAGGTTTGGCTTCATGGGACTATTCCATGGGGTTTTTCTTTTAACAAGACCTGCTTTCTGGATCTATTTCTAAGCAGGGCAAGAATTATTTTTCCCTTCCCACATGCTGGCTTCTCTTCCACATGGATCCTGCCACCAGCTGTATCCTTGGGGACTCTTCTAAGACCACTCACGGAGTGTGTAAAATCTCCCCAGTTCTCGTCCTGGCTGTCCTTACGATAACTCAAGACTGCTAATCATGTGGTTAAAAAAAATAGTAAGAAGGCACAGGGGATCAACACGAGGTCTGAGAGTGGAGGAACCTGGGCCCAAACACAGGCTGGACCATTCATCAGCTATGTGATTGGTCCCTGAAACAATTTGCCTATCAGCCTCAGCTTCTTCATTCATAAAATGGGGATGGGGATGGGGCAAAGGTGGTGATGACCTTGACTTTGCAGACAGCCTATCAGGTGCCAAGCTCTGGGGCCTTGCTTTAATCCCCCAATCTCTCTGAATGGCTGTGGAGGTGGAGTTCAACATGTTGTATTTATAGCATTTAACACAGTGCTTAGGAATCAAAGTGTGACCGGTAAATGTCTTTTGGAGAATCAAATGCCTACAGTTGTGGCCCATTATATTGGGCTCCTGGGCTTTTATTGATTGATTAATATATTGCCCAGGCTGCTCCCTAATTGCCCTACCTTTCTTGTGTAAGCAAAACTGAGCTAACAACCCAGGGGAGACCACGGGCCCCCTTTTCTCCTGTTGGCTTCTCACAATCTGTCCTTTTTCTGAACTCCATAAAAACTCGTGTAGTTCATAAAACTTACAGAGCAAAAACAGAACACATTTTCTCCCCAGCTGGATTACATAAATGCATTAGCAGTGCTTCCCAATCGTAACGACATGTCACAGAGAAAAAGGTTGACAGACGAGGCCAACAGCCTGCTTTCCTTTGGAGATACCTAGTAATCTTTTTGGTCTCTTTCCATGTCTTTCTCATTTTTTTTCCCTGCACTGTCTCTGCTTGGAGCCCCAAAGCCCAAAGGGATCAGTAGATATCTGGGATCCCCTAGTCTGTTCTCTGCGTGTTCTGTGTTTGCTCACGGATTTAGCACAAGGCCAGCTAGACAACACCTGAGAACTCCACATGTTGGATATGCTGACTTGAAACATTATGAAAGTGATCCCAAGTGATCCACTCCTTCCTGATCCATACCTTGGGTAGTTGGTGCAATACTGGGTGTAAATGTGGAACTCTTCACTCTGCAAGGAAACGAGAGACTTTTATAGGCAAAAAAGCACAGACATCAACATTCATTTAAAAACAAGAAAAGAAACAGCATTTGGGCCTTTAAATTTCTTTCTGTAATCACACTGGCCAGTCTCTGGAGCCCTTGTGGGATCGTCTGTGCCCACTGTTATATACCTAGAACCTGCACACACTCTGACTAATTTGGGTCTTCTAAACACCTGGTTCCAGATACTGTGAAGACAACAGGAAGAGGACGAAAACACAGTTTCTGCCCTAAAGTGCTCCTGGTTCTCTGGTGGATGCAACAGGGTGAGAGGGAAATATAAGTGGGTAATGTAAACATCACATAGGAACAACATGGTGGGAGTACATGCAGGAGACAAGAAAGCTGGTATGGGGCTGGGGATGTGGCTTAGTGGTAAAGCACTCACCTAGAATACGTGAGGCCCCGAGTTCAATCCCCAGCATTGCCAAAAAAACAAAATAAAAAATAAAAAATAAAATAATCCAGGTGCAGTGCAGCAGTGCAGTGGCACACACCTGTAAATCCCAGCAGCTCGGGGGACTGAGGCAGAAGAATCATGAGTTCAAAGCCAGCCTCAGTAACCTAGGGAGGCCCTAAGCAACTCAGCGAGACCCTGTCTCTAAACAGAATATTAAAAAGGGCTGGGATATGGCTCAGTGGTTAAGCGCCCCTCGGTTCAATCCCTGGAAACTTCCACAAAAAAAAAAAAAAAAAAAGCAGCTAAGCAGCTGCTGGGCACTTTCAAGGCCTGTGCCTTCTGCTGTCCCTGCCCACTCCTGTTCCCACTCCTCTCGCTGCAGAGCCACTGTGCCTCCCTTATTCAGAGTCCGGGCCTTATTTCCTCTAAGGAGCCTTCTGTGAGCTCTTGGGCTGGGCCAACAGCTCCTACTTTGGGCTTCCAGCACATCCAGTACTGGCCTCCCTGGTAGCACCAACCAAACGAGAGTGACATTTTCTGTTTGTCCATCTCCCACATTAAGCTGAGAATTCCTTTAGGGTAGAGGACACACTGTGCACATTTGGCTCACAATGTTTGTCAAACTACTGCATTCCCTTCTTCCCTACTAAGCCAAAGTTTATTTGAGAGCAGGACCAAGCCTACTGATCAGCACACATTCAGCATGGCAGCAATGCCCAAGTGCAGTTCATGTCTGGCTATCAAATGTGTGGGTCCTGCCTCCTGCCGCGAACATACCCCCATTCCCTAAAACCATTTCGTTCCCTTGGCTACCTCAGTCTTGCAGATGTCCCAGTCATATTTAACTGAAATTGGGAAATGTTAAATATTTGCTCATTAAAGGTTAATTCTTTAAAAAGGTAGAATCTGACTTCCATGCAAATATAAAATGAACACTGTCAGGTATTTTAGTTAACCTATTAGGGAGGATTGTTCTAAGACATTTCAGTTGGATCAAAAGATAAATAAAAGTATAACAGTTAGGTCAATGATGAATGCTGAAGTGAATTTACACATAGATACAAAACTGGCTTTTTCTATGGGGATGGGTGGATAATGAACTCGAATGTTCTTGCCTGGGACAGAATTCATTTGCTTTCTGTGGCCAAGAACCATTTGCACAGCGATCAGTTATCTAAAACTGATGGGAGTTGTAAAATACTTCAAAGATGATGAAAGGTGCAGAACCCTGTTGAATTATGTAATTTGGAAGAATAAACTAGATGACCATAGATTTCCTACATCCCCAGTCTTTTTGGTGGATCCCTAGGCTGACGAGGAGGAGAGCTGTCTATGTGGGCAGGTGCAGTACAGAAGCCAGGCTTTTACACTAGTGCCTGTTCAGACTGCCATTCAGAATAGATGATTCAAGCCAAAAAAACCAAACAAACAAAAAAACCAAAACCCAAAAAACAAAAAAACATCTAGCTCTTAAAAAGTCTCTACTGAATTCTATTTGAAAAAAGTCATTGGATACTTTGGGTGGCACGTCGCATTTCACTCTTTTCTGATTTCATAAAACTTTTGACTTCTTAAAACTATTTTATGCTGCACTGACATGTGATTCTAAATTGAGTTTTCTTGACTTTAAAAAAATTTTTTGGTACTGTGGATTGAACCCAGGGGCACTAAACCACTGAGCTACATCCTTTTTTAAAATTTGAGACAGGAACTTGCTGAGTTGCTTAGAGCCTTACTAAGTTACTGAGGCTGACTTTGAACTTGAAATCCTCCTGCCTCAGCCTCCTGAGCTGCTGGGAATTATAGGTGCGCGCCACTGCACCTGGCTTTTCTTGATTTTAATGCTCTGAATATTCTTTTTTTTCCCACATTGAAAAAGAATCCTTAGAATCTTTCTTGTTAAACTCAACTGGGATTAGGTTAAACATTTCATATTATTATAATGGACAGTTTTAAGCATATATACAAATAGAAAGGATAAAATGGTGAATCCCAGTGTCCACCATCCAACCTCCGTAATCATTACATCCCACCTGCTCCCCTGCGTCCCCATCACTCTGAAGCAAATTCTAGGCCTCGTATCATTTCATTTGGGTTTGAGTATGCACCTTCAAAACAAGCTCCTCAACCAAGTGGCATCACCACAGTGCCACTATCACATGTAAATGATTCAGTCTGGTTGAAGGAACCAGATTGTCCTGAATAGTCAGTCTCAGTAGTGCTGGTGACAGTCCCATGGTACACACCCTGTCTGCTGACTCTGTGTGGATCAGTAGAGCTTGCTCAGATTTAGGTTTCAAAATTTGGCAACATCCACCATAGATTATAATGCACTTCCGTCAGGAGGCACCTGATGTCCGGCTTTTCTTTCTTTTTCTTTTTTTTTTTTTTAATACTAGGGATTGAATCAGGGGGTGCTTCACCATGGAGATACATTCCCAGCTCTTTTATTTTTGAGTTTGAAACAGGGTCTTGCTAAGTTGCTTAGGGCCTTGCTGTCCTTTTTGTGATGCTCACAGTTGGCAATTACCACCAAGATCTATTACTGTATTAGGGTTACAAAAGATGATATTTCTAATTCTGTTGTTCCTTCTTCATTTATCAGTCAGAATCTTTCTGAAAAAGGAACTTTCTCCTATGAACTGTTGGTTTACTGTGCAGTTTGTTCAGGGTAAATTCTCTTTCTCTTGGTTTTCTAAATAATGTATGATTCTCTGCCATCCAGCAAAGGTGACCAGTTTTTTTTAATACCACTGTAAATTCATAAACATTTAATGAGTTTTGACCATTTTCCATTGTCTTTGCTGACACTCCAACAATCCCATCTTTTGTTGACAGAGCCTCTTTTGAACATTGTTCTCTGAGCACTCCTATTCTCTTCCATAGCTTCTGTGTTTCCTGGTGGGACAAGATGCCCGGACCATTATTATCATGGAAAGTCTTGTGTATTGTCTACCAAACACTCAGGCTCCATTGAGCCCTGATCCTTGGGTGGCAAATAACATTTGAAGACCACAATTTGGGTTTTAGGGATGCTATTGCTACTGAGTTAGTCATTAGGGCTTTTCAGTGGACAGGGTAAAAAATATGATGTTTTTTTAAAGGATAAAATACATCCTTAGTTCATACTGGTACAGGTTGAGTATCTGTAATCTGAAAACTCAAAATACTCCCAAATCTGAAACTTTCTGAGACTCATCATGATACCCCAGGTGGATAATTCCACACTTATGGCAGTCAAGATGCAAGTACACTAAAAATGCTGTATAAAATAACCCTCAATGAGGTGAACATGAAACACAAATGAATTTTGCGTTTGGATGTGGGTCCTATCCCCAAGATATCTCATTTAGTACATGTAAATATTTCAAAATATCCTCCCCCAAATTTGATACTGAAATACTTCTGGTCCCAAGTATTTCAGCTAAGGGCTACTCAAGCTCCCATTCAGATTCAGGAGTACAGAATTTTAAATTAGCCTCAAGTGCTCTTGTGTCCGTATTTTCCTTTTCCTTAGCAATTCCTGTTCTCAATGACACTAACATAAATACTTTTTTGCTTTATCCCATGACACGCTCAATAATTTCAGAATAACAATTGTAACATCATGATAAATAGAATCATCACCTAAACAGTTAAAGATGTATGTGCCGTGCTCTGTCCAGTGCATCCTTTCAAATCAATCGGAATTCCCTCTGCATGGTCACGCCACCAACCTGACACATGATCAGTCGCGTGTGCTTCATTTGCTCTCAGTTTCTGAAGATTGTATCTTCAAACTTTTACCTTTTTTTTAAAATAACTAAATTATGTACATTTTTTTCAACATCAACCCTACAAAGAAATACATTAAAAGAAGTCTAACCTCTATTCTTCTCCATTCTATCCTCTCCTATCTCCTCTTTTAATCTTATAGGTTATCCTGTTTCTGAACAGGCATATCCTCCCTTTGTAGATAAACAAATCATGTTACACTAGTGATGCTCAAACTCGAGTGGGCATCAGAGTCCCCGGGAGGGCTTGAACTGATGGCTGGGTCCCTTCCCTGGAGTTTCTAACTTGGTAGATCCGGGACGGAGGCCTGAGAATTCGCGTGTGTCACAAGTTCCCTGAGGTGCTGGGATCCCACTTTGAGAACCACAGTGCCCTACAAACTCTTACCCACGCCCTCTGCAATTCTTATTTTGTTTTTATGCTTCATGGTACTCCATCACGTGGATATGTTTTGGTTTATTCAACCAGATTCTTGTTCGGGGACATGTGGGCTGTTTCCAGTCTTTTTTGGTAACAAACATTACTGCCAAGAATAGCATCATTCCTATTGAATCTTTTCTATTGATCCTTGGAGTAGATCTTTGAAAGCAGAATTAGCAGGCAACAGGGTAATGTTGAGCTACATCCTTCACCATAGTGTCTGTGCCATTTTGCTTTGGCACAGTTGTGAGAGCATCTGTTTCTCCATGGCCTTGTTGACTAAAGTTTAAGCATGATACTAAATGTTCAGGCATAATACTGTTTAAAAATCCAAATTAGTTGTCAACTTTAAAACACTGGAAAATATAAATATCCCAGTTTCCGGTGTCTCCTGAGAAAGAGTAGAATCCACGTGCAAAGGGCCTTGAGTTTCACATGACGAATACTATCCTATGAGACCAAGCAAGCACCTGGATTGCCTTAGCCTCCACCTGGGCCCTCAAGTTCACCTGGTGGCATCTGAAGCCAGCCCTGGCTCCCAGGGTTGAGAAAGGCCTTGACCTGCCCAAGGTCCTTTAGGAAGCATACAGCAGATTGGAGCTTTTCTCTGGATTTGCTCGCATTCTCCAAGTTTCTTGTTCTTCTTTCCTGCTCCCTGCTCTACTAAACCTGGGATTGAGCAAGATCAGGCTGCCTTTCCTTCTGTTTGGGGATCTTTAGGATCATTTGAAATGCCAAATTAAAACATAATGGCCTCAATGGAAATATGCAGTCAATGTACGCACAGCCTCAGTAAGGCCTGAAGACTTCTGCACAATGGTGTTTTGTGATACTGTGGCTGTATTCCTATCATGTATCAGCGAGTTCTGATTGACATCAACAATATAGCCTTATTGGAGAATCAAATACAAGTTTGATCTTAGATTTATAAAGCTCTGTGGGCCTTGTCAATAATGGTTTTACACAAAAAGCAGTAGCTCCTGGGTCTGTTAATACTTAAATGCCATAGTTTACCATGTATGCCACCCCAATCCTTTTTTAAATGTATGTAGTTGTATATATTACACAAATTAGAAAAAAATAGATATTGACTTCTAGTAATTCAATTCTTTCAAATTGAGATTATCTGAAATGAGACAGTGTACAAAGAGCCAAAGCATCTGATAGTCAGGGCTGTCCAACTGAGCAAACAGGGCAAAGGGTGACTGGACAGGTAACCAGAGTGTGATTTTAGGGCTTCTTCTGCTGCAGTTTCCCCCCTCCCTCACACTCTCAGATTCTGGGAAGTTTTCCTGGACCCTATGAGAAGGCTTGGTATGCAGACAGTACCCAGGAAGGTAACACTCTAATGGTACAGATATCGAGTATCAGCACCTTCTTGAGGATAATACAGGGGCAGGGTGTGTGTACGTGTGCACACACATGTTCACGTGTATGTGTATACCTGTGTGCTTGTTTACCTTGGCTCTGAAAGGAGAAAGGCACCAAGGGAGGGGCGCTGCGCAGCCAGGGAGAAGAAGTGGCTAAGGGTAAGGTGGGCTCTCAAGACATACTGTCCCTTTCTATGTTGCCCAGGGCCAGCTCTGCTGAGAGTCAAGATGAGGGATGGGCACTGGGGCGGAGGTGAAGGCAGGAGCCCTTCCAGGTGTTTCCAGATCCCTAAGAGCAGACCAGTATTCATGGGAGCAGGAATGGGTGGCCGATAGGGAACTTTTATTTCTATCCCTCAAGAGAACTGCCTGCTCCTTATTCTTGTAGGAGCAGTAGGAAAAAAGCCAATGTATTCTCCTTGGGTTGGTCAGAATTTCCTTAACTTATGCATACCACAAAGGTAAGCCAGGTCAAAGATGAATCTCCATGTAATCCCCAGTGATCCAGATAAAAGCAGAAGTCAACCGCCAGCTTTACCTCCGTCGTTAATGACCTCTCAATTAAAACAATTTTCCATTCCTCCCAGAGAGGAGCAGCTGGTGGGTTTCAGAGAACGTAACATCTTCTAAATTTCAGAGTGTTGAGTGAAAAGCAGGTTATGCCAGAACTTCACGATTCCCTGCTTCCACGTGCAAGTGTGGAGAGCTGAAGTCAGTCTTCTAATTGAACTTGGCAATGTTACAATGAAAAATAAGATTTGGGAGTTGGCAAGGAGGCACATAAACAAACTTTTATGTGAATAATTAAGCCAGAGCTAAGCATATGCTGGAACATCTTTAATCAGTTTGTGATTACAGTTACCAGTAAAAGCCAAATGTTTCCGAGAGCTTCTATGTTGTTTATATGCTGCGGTTATTTTAACATATCTCCTTTGATATATTCAGACTATCTTGTTACCATTTCTCTCCTTTCCATTTTTTTTCCTCTTTTTTAAATTCCTACCTTTTGGAGAATTAATTATGACCCTGAAAACTTTGAAGAGTATCTATGTGTTTAAGCATGTGTGTACAACATGTTACACATGAACACACACAGGTACATGAAAGGCAGGAGAATTTACACATAAGATCATCAATGGTCTTTACAGAACTTCAACAGGGTGTTATGTTTGAATTCAAAGCCATCTGGAAGGATCTACAGTCAACAGAAATGACCTTGTGGAACAAGTCTGGAGCCAGGTCAGGCTGGGACAACATCCCAAGTTCACATTGAACTTGAGGCTCCCAATGAGGTGCTAATTCACCGCTGGTCTCCAAGCACCTTCATGAACTTTGCTTAAACCTTTGTACATTTCAAACCTTTACACAACTGTAGAAACCACACAAACTTCTGCTGAAACACAGTTTCTGCCAGAGGTTTTCCAAACAAAAGATGTTGAATTTTTAAGAGAAACTTAAACAAGATAGGTTTCTATCTCTACCAGGTAGCATGTTGAGAAAGAAACACAGTCAAGGGCTGCTGGGCATGTCTCGGAGCACGCTTTCCTTCCAAGTTCAGAGCCTGAGCTCACTGCTGGGTAAGCTTTAAGTCAAATCTGCTCCCAGTGTTTTCCTAAGCATTAACACCGCTTAAGAAAAATATAGGAAAATGACTGCATTTTAAGGTGTAGGAAATCACTCTGCTGCTTTTTATCCCATAAAAGATAATTATAAGGGCTGGGGTTGTGGCTCAGTGGTATAGCTCTTGCCAAGCATGTGCAAGGTACTGGGTTCGATTCTCAGTACTGCATATAAATAAATAAAATAAAGTTCATTGACAATTAAAAAATATTTTAAAAAAAGATAATTATAGAGACCAGGCTAGTACCACACTTATTTCATAGAAAACATTTAGATTCTAATGTATTTTTATAACAGATTTAGTGGTATGTTATACATATTTATTTTCCTAACATTTTTCTACTCTAGACTCTCCTCCTCCAAGCTTCAAGTCTTTCCTGGGAAAGAGTAACATTCTCCAGTTACAAAGCAAGTTCCAGGACAACTACTAAGTCAGCCTCTTCCTCTTCCCAGTAGCAGTGTTTTTTTTTTTTTTTTTTTTTTTTTTTTCCTTTCCTACTGAAACAAATGGGGGAAAAAAAAAAGAGTGTCCAACTGCATCCCATATAGAACAAACCAGCCATTCTAACTCTAAAATGGAAACAATCCATACTATCGGCCTTGGCGGGCCCACAGAAATGAGACCTGCTTACCTTGGACACAAAACATTCCGCGATGGCCACAGGATCATTTTCACAGTTTTCCAAATCTTGCAGAAGTTCACTTTAAACAAACAAACAAAAAGACCCAGGAAGTATTAGATGGAGTCTTCTGGTTGAGGGCATTTTACAAACTTAAAATTTTAAACATTTCTAATGCATTTACGAGGAATCATAGAACTGGATAACTGAAGGCCTTCTGCCATTTGTATGCAAGAATTAGATAAGGGGCTTGTCCAAAGGCATAGCAGAGCAAGGATTTAAACACAGTTTGGGAAACTCCCACCAGAGATAAGCCCTGCCTGAAATTTCAGTTTTCTAGACTTTTGTCTTTGGCTGCACAAATGCTCACAAACACTCACTCATTCATCAAATGACTGCCTGGGTACCCGGTGTAGGGCCAGGCCCTCAGAACACACCAATGAGCATAATGACATGTGGTGCCTGATCTCTAGAGCTTCCAATGCACTGGAAGTCAGACATTCAGTGACAAATCACACTAACAACTGAGACATGCCAGGGGAGAAAATCGCTCTCCTCAAATATAAATTTATATTAATTTTTAGTGACAGTGTCATTAGTTTAAGTAACTGCTCAGTCTTTCATTTTGTGGCTATGCCATAATTCATTTAATTAATCTCCCAATGTCTGATAAAAATTCTGTAAGGGGAATTGCTGGGTCAAAGGTCATTCTCAGCATAAATATTATCACACTTCCAAATTGCACTCCATTTAAATTGTATTAATATATAATTTAATATGCTGAATAATTGTTTTAAGATACTACGTATTACATTATGTCTTTGCTAATGTCATATATAGTACATTAAATTTTAAAGAGTTCTATAGGAATTAGGATAGAAACACTTTGTTGCTTTGTGCTTCTCATTCTTGATGGGCCACTGCAGAGAACATTTTCAACCCTTCAGCTGCTCCTGCTAGGCACGCCCCTATTTCTATGGATATTAAGAGTGGATTTCCATTATTTTTCAGTTGCAGCTATTTCTTGCTTATATTATTTTCCCCAAACTTCTCCTCCTGCCATCATCTCCATCAGTTCTCTTTTGTAGCTTCATGAGATTAAATGTCTGAATTTGTATCTTTAAGACTATGGAGTTTTCCCAGTTTAATCTCTTGGCAGACCCCAGGATCTCTTTTCCTTCTTGTAGAACCATGTTTTCCCTGGAGTTAAAATTCTCTCTCTCTTTTTTTGCTTTTGCTTTGTTTTCAAAGTACGCACCAATGATTTTCATCAGTGGTCCAGCAGTATAAATCTCACCCACTGGGACAGAACATCCGACAGCCCACCAGTTACGCGTCTTTCCTGTGGTCTCCCTCCTGGAGCCCACAGCCTGCCCTGTCCTGCACATGCTCTTCTTCCAGCTGCTGGACATGCTCACCAACAGCCTCCTGACGCTGTCTGCGGCCTATCTCCTATGCTGGATCCTTGCTTCTTAGGGGCCAGTTCCTATGTATCCCTGCCTTTGAGAGGTGACAATAGCCAGCAGCTTTCTGAGAAAGGTAAAAGGAGGACAATTTTCTGGGACTGTTCCAGTTTCAACATGTTCTTCTCTTCACACTGCTGCATGATGTCAGTGGATACAGAATTTTTGGTTGGAGTTGGGCATGGTGGTACACACATGTAATCCCAGTGGCTCAAGCTGAGACAGGAGGATGGAGAGTTCAAAGCCAGCCTTAGCAACTTAGTGAGGCCCTAAGCAACCCAGCAAGATCTTGCCTCTAAATAAAATGTAAAAAGGGCTGGGGATGTGGCTCAGGGGTTACACATCCCTGGGTTCAATCCCTGGTAAGAAAAAGAAAAAAAAAAAAAAAGAATTATTGGTTGGAAGTCATTTTCTCTGAGCATTCAAAGGGCTGTCTGTTGCCTTGTAAATTCCAACAGTGCTACTGAGAGTCCACTATCATTCTGATGCCCCATCAAGATTCCATATGACCTGTTTTTTGTTTTTTCAGTTCTGGAAGCTTTTAGAATTATGTCTTTGTTAATGTTATTCTGAAGCTTTGAGTTGGTGGGCTTTAGGGTGGGTCCTGTTCACATACTGGGTCAATTCAAGCATGTGGGAACAGATCTTGATCTCAAAGTGTGGTCCAGGGACCCTGCCTCAGGAAGAACACAGGATACTATTTCATAAAAATGCTGAGATGCTATTGGGTTTTTACTTTCCCTCTATCAAAAGAGTACAGTGGCTTCTTCCAGAGGCTATTTGATGTTCTATATTAGGACAGACTGAAAGTAGGCGTGGATATGAGAATTCTGTGTCCTCTTAGGTCAGAGTAAGGTGATTTGTGAAAATGTAAAACAATTCCAAAACACATCAACATTGTGGAAAAAAAAGTCGTAAAATCACTTTCCTTAAACATGTGGGTTTAATATATTATTACAGAAACTGATACTTTAACAATTTCTCAGTTTTAGTTTCTAACATGGTAAACAAAACATTAAAAAACAAACAAAAGCAGCTTTTGGGGTGTCTTTAATCATTTTTAAACATGTAACAGATCCTGGGACCAAAAAGCTTAAAAGCCTGTGTTCCTGGCTCCTGTCTTAGATGCTTCCACCCCCACATTGTGGAAGGTCATGTTATTCACATTTGGGATCTCAGGATCTAAGTCTCAAATTTTTCTTATTCATCCTCTTCTTTAAACCATCTTCTTATTTACTGTTCTGTTTTTCTGGAGGAGATTTTAACTTTATTTCCTCTCCCTTTTATTGAATTTGCCCTCTTCTCCATTCAACCTATTGCAAGCTGTTGTGGTGGGGCGGGGGTGGTCTGTAGAAAAAAACCTAGTCTCACATGGACATGTTGTTAGAAAAGGGAGGACTATTTTAATGGACTTTTCAGATCAGGATGGATATTCTTCTTTGATATTCTACTCAGACTCAGTAAGTGGGGTTTGTTAAAGGTTTTCTGGAGTTTGAAGCCTTACCAATAGGCTGTGCCATTACTTTGAAATCTACTGCTGAATTTTACACTTTGAAAGGATCTCTTAGGACAGTCCCAATTTGAACATTCTTCCCAATAGTCTTATAAAAAATATCTCCTTGATTAATTGTTTTTTTTTTTTTTTTTGGTACTGGGGCTTGAACTCAAAGGCACTTAACCACTGAGCCACATCCCAGCTCTATTTTGTATTTTATTTATAGACAGGGTCTCACTGAGTTGCTTAGCGCCTCACTTTTGCTGAGGCTGGCTTTGAACTCGTCACCCTCCTGTCTCAGCCTCCCAAGCTGCTGGGATTACAGGTGTGCACCATTGTGCCTGGCAAAGATAAGTTTTAATGTGAAAAAATTTACTTCTGATGCTTATATCATTATCTTTTTATAGAAGGATGGGTTGGTTAAACTAAAGATAGTTGAGCTCTGAATACTGGACCAGGTAAGAGAGAAGGTGGAAGACAAAGGACGGCCAAAGATACCGTTTTTGGAGTCACCGTGTCCTCCCTGACTGGAGGATGGGGTGCTGCAGATGGAGGTTTTATGTCTGGATCTCTCAATAGAAATTTCCTCTTTCTAAGCGGAGAGGAATTTCGAGCAGACTCCATCACGCTCCTTCTTGGAGCTTAATAGAAACACTCCTTGGCATATTTAATTCCTGGTGTTCTCTCTGTTAGGCTCATCATGCTCCCTCCATGTATTAATTCCACCCCCAGAGTAGAGTGCTGGGGGGAGGAACTCTTCACCAGGCTCCAGGTGGAACCTCACCTGTAAGCAAATGACTGGCATTCTCTGCCCCAAGAACCACAGAGCCGGGAGGGAAACTACGGCCCATAAAGAAATGGTCGTTCATCTTAGGTCACACAGCTCCTAATTAATGGCTCAGCTGTGGCGAGCATGGGGCTGAGTCCCGTCCTGCACTCTACTACAAACACATCTACTGAAGCAGTTCTTCCCTGATTGACTCAAGGAGGCTGAGGGCCAGTCTTCAACATGGTCCTGCCCACCTGAGAGGCCTTGTTGGTATTACCTGGCCAGCTGTCCTTTACAGCCCTTTTCTAGAATAGAATGAAAACGATAAGAATGGAAATGGTGAGGAAAAGGCCATGGGTTTGCTTCATGCTTTTACACCGGGGCCACTGTCCCAATAAAGCTGTCCTACCTGCTTGTCAGCTTGCCATTCAACTAGCAATACCGAAGGCTCCCCCTCTAGGCGTGGATAGAAGGCTGAGATTATGGGGTAAAGATGACGGACAAAGGCCCCATGCAAGAAACATGTACTTATGTTCTGATCACAGATGACAATAAACAGCATACTGTCACATGGTATCATATGACAGGAAGGAAATAAAGAGGGCAGCATGACAGAGAGCAACTGAGGCTGGGCGGGGGTAGAAGAGGGTGGGAGGTCATGGAAGGTGAAAGAGAAAATCACTTAAGAAACATGGTTGGATTTGGGCGTGGTGGCGCACGCTCTTGTAATCCCAGCAGCTCAGGAGGCTGACACAGGAGGATCTCGAGTTAAAGTCAGCCTCAGCAAAAGTGAGGTGTTAAGTAACTCAGTGACACCCTTTCTCTAAATGGAATACAAAATAGGGCTGGAATGTGGCTTAGTGGGTGAGTGCCCCCAAGTTCAATCCCTGGTATCCCCTGCCCCAAAAAGTTTGGGGACTTTAAGGGGCTGGTCCAAATGGGGAAAATGGTCAGTTTTCTGACCATTTATTCCAGGCAGCAAAGCAGAGGCTTAAATTTCTAATTTAGTGTGGAGAAAGAAGACATTTGGCTACCAAAAAGGAAAAATAACAAAGTCTCAATTATATTCCAAAACATTTTGTGATGGAAGATTTTATGAAATAACCATTTAAATATTGTCATATATCAAAACTGAACAAAGATAGTAAAAGAAACTGTATAGTACTGTCATTTATAACATGCATGAAAATTTCTCCAAAAAGATACAAAGATAGCAAATTCACCAGTGCATAGATAAATAAGACATCATGACCAGGCAGGTTTTATTCTGGTCATGTTTTTTTTAAAAAAATATTTATTTTTTAGTTTTAGGTGGACATAATATCTTTTTTATTTTTATGTGGTGTTGAGGATCG